CTCTTAATTTTTATTTCAAATATATTTATATTCTTGTTAAGAATGATCATTGTAGAACTTCTCTCTCTGTTTTCTTTGACTTTTCTTTCACTTCTGGTGATGCTCAGGGGTTACTCTTGGTTCTGCACTTAGGAATTACTCCTGGCAATGCTTGGAGGATCCACATAGAATGCCAGAGATCAAACCCAGGCCAGCCACATGCAAGGCAAATGCCCTAACTGCTGTACTATCACTCTGGCCCCTTGTAGAACATTTTTTTCTTTTTAGCTTTTTGGGTCACAACCAGCGATGCTTAGGGGTTACTCCTGGCTCATGAACTCAGGAATCACTCCTGGCGGTGCTGGGGGAACCATATGGGATATTGGGGATTGAACCTGGGTTGGCCACGTGCAAGGCAAACACCCTACCTTCTGTGCTATCGCTCCAGCCTCCTTGTAGAACATTTTTAAAGAGAAAGGTTTTATATAAATTGTATTATAATTACATACAGACATTTTTAATCTTCTTTGTTTTTGGTTTTGGTTTGCTTTCTTATGTAGTCTTTTTTTCCCCCTTATTTTTGGGGCCTTGTCTGGCTATGCTCAGGGCTTACACCTGGCTCTGTGTTCAATGATCACCCCTCCTGGTGCTTAGTGAACACTATGCAATGCTGGGAGTTGAACCTGGGTCAGCCATGTGCAAGACAAGAGTGTTACTATCTCTGTACTGTACTGATAGTGCTGTACTATCTCTCTGGCCTGAAGAATTCATTTTTTTTAAATTTATTTATTTATTTATTGAATCACCGTGGGAAAGGTTACAAAGCTTTCAGGTTTAGGTCTCAGTCATGCAAATATCAAACACATTTCCCTTTATCAATACTTTTTTTTTACCATGAAGAACCCCAATAAAACCCCACCCCCCACCCCTCCCAGTCCCTGTGGGGCAGATGAATTCTAGTTAACACTCTATCTGCTTTGATTAGATTCATTGTTTCAATAAAAGATTCACCACTATTATTTAGAGTTTACCCCCCCCCCAAATCAGACATGCTGAAAAAGCATTGTGAAGTGATTTGCTTTCTACAGCTGGGTTCAAGAATTAAATGTTGGTTTTGGATTTCTGCTATTTTACTTATTGACCCTGGAAGTATTTCTACTGAAAGTCAGATAGTTAAGAAATTGGTTTATGTGCTCTGGAGTCGTGGCCGTGCTGGAGAGCCGCTAGTGGGGGGCAACTGGTGGTCTTGGTAGGGCGTGAAGGGCAGACCGAAACGCCCCCCTTCCCATGAGGTTTTAGTCGCCCCCACTCCCCCGGCTCGTACCTGCTGTCCACAAGGCTCCCATGCGGCCGCCATCTTTCTTTCCAGAGAGGAGAAGGCGACTGGGGCAACACCCTTTCCCCTCCGGACAGACCTGATGGCTTGGATTAACACATAGTCCGTTCATTTTTCTGCTCCAAGCTGCCGGGTTCTGCATTAAGTTCTTGTGCTTCTGGGGCCGTGGCCGTGCTGGAGAGCCGCTCGCGGGGGGCAACTGGTGACCTCGGTAGGGCGTGAAGGACGGACCGGAACGACCCCCTTCCCATGAGGTTTTAGTCGCCCCCACTCCCCCGGCTCATACCTGCTATCCACAAGGCTCCCATGTGGCCGCCATCTTTCTTTCCAGAGGGAGGAGGGCGGAAGGGAGCAACACCCTTTCCCCTCCGGGCAGACATGATGGCCTGGATTAACGCATAGTCCTTTCACTTTTCTGCTCCAAGCTGCTGGGTTCTGCATTAAGTCCTTGTGCTTCTGGGGCTGTGGCCGTGCTGGAGAGCCGCTCATGGGGGGCAACTGGTGACCTCGGTAGGGCGTGAAGGACGGACTGGAACGCCCCCCTTCCCATGAGGTTTTAGTCGCCCCCACACCCCCGGCTCATACCTGCTGTCCACAAGGCCCCCATGCGGCTGCCATCCTTCTTTCCAGAGAAGAGAGGGCGAATGGGGCAACACCCTTTCCCCTCCAGACAGACATGATGGCCTGGATTAACGCATAGCCCGTTCACTTTTCTGCTCCAAGCTGCTGGGTTATGCATTAAGTCCTTGTATTTCTGGGGCTGTGGCCGTGCTCCAAACTTAACTATGATTTTCAGAGAGAAACGTTGGGTGGTTTACTTCCCATGGATCACTTTGTATATAGAGAGATGTCTTGTTTTGAGGAAAAGTCCTAGTTCCCGCATACTCGAGCTGTGCTTGTAGAGGCTTCTGGTCACTGTGGTTCCATCTGGGGGAGGCGGGATGCGGTACCTACCCCATCTGGGACTTCCGGATGATCTCGGCTCTTTTTGGAACCTGTTTTTTTTTTTTCCTTCGGGATCTGTGGATCCCGCCCTCCATGTAGTCCTTCTCTTCGGCTGGGGTCCTTCAGTCTTACTGGGGTAGGCTTCCAGCTGAGGTGAAGCTGGACGGTTTCTGTTTTTGTTTTGCATTTGCCCTGGAAGTTGCTGTGTGTGTGTGTGTTTCCCAGGTGCCTACTTGATCTGTTGAAAGGTGATCCAGGTGTGTGTGAGAAGGCACAATGTTGGTCCTCCTTGGGTCCTCTAAGATTCTTTTTCTCTTTGAGTGCTCTCTGACATGAGTGTCCCTTTACTTTGAAAAACCAGGACCTTCGGTGTATTTACAAGGACAACAGTAGGTTCATAGACCGTTTTGCTTAAATTTCTTCAAACCTGAAGTGCAGGACTAGGGATATAGCTCAGCAGTAGAGTATCAGCCCTGCAGGTGTGCAGCCCTGGGAGAAAAACGCACCATACCACACCACACCGCTCCATACCACACCACACTGCTCCATACCACACCATACCGCTCCATACCACACCACACCACACCACACCACTCTGTACTACACACATCACTCTACTCCACTCCACACACCACTCCATTCCACACTGTATCACACTACTCCACACAATACCCCTCCACACCACACCACTCCATACCACACCACACTGCACCACACCACAACACTCTGCACTACACCATATCACTCAACTCCATTCCACTCCACACCACACTGCACCACAACACTCCACACCACTCCTTACCATACCACACTACACCACTCCACTCCACACCGCTCCATATCACTACATACCACACCATTCCACACCACACTGCAAATACACCACAAATACCACATTACATCACTCCACACCAGACTGTAAATACACCACAAATACCTTACCACACCACTCCATACTACACTACAAATATACCACAAATACCACACCACTCCACAAAACAGCACACCACTCCATACTACACTACAAATATACCACAAATACCACACCACTCCTCACCACTCCATACAATACCACTCCACACCACACCATACCTCTTCACACCACACCATAACACTCCACTCCACACCACATTACAAATATTAGACCACAAATACCACACTACACCACACCACAAATAGCACACCACACTACTCCACACTGCACCACACCACAAACACCTGAGAACTTAGAACTTCCTAGAGAGCTTGTCACAAGTAGTATTGATGTGAGATGTTGAAAGCCCATTTTCCTTTTCTTACATAGGAACAGTGAGATGTGACTCACTCCAGAACTCCCCTAAGGGTTCAAGCACATCCGCCCTCAGGGACATAGTGAGCCTGAGCTCATGGTCAAGTGGGGGCATCCCCACTGCTCTTTCCCCTGCATGGGAGTCCTGTTTCATAAGCAACTGGACCCAGAGCCTTGGCTCAGGATCTGCTGCCAAGGAACCCTGTATGAAGCCAGGGTACATGTTATTGAAAACTTTCTCATTTTCATATATTCCATTTATTCTAAAGCATTCCTACCCTATTAAAATACACCATTGGGTATGTGCTCATCTCTCTATGAAATGGTACTTTGCTGTGGGCCAGGCCTTTTTCATTGGTAGGAGGAATATCCAGTTCCTCCTCCCTTTGTTTTGGAACCCACAACCAGCAGTGCTCAGGGGCTGCTACTCCCAGCACTGTGTTCAGGAGTTATGTCTGGGGATTCTCAGACAACCATACATGGTGCCTGGGATTGAAACAGGGTCAGCAGGATGCAAGGCAAGCTCCTTGCCTGCCGTACTATCACTCCAGCCCCAGCTAACACTTTTTGTATGACTATATTTTGGGGTACAATTTCACACTTCTTTAAAATGGTATGTTACTGCAGCTTGTGTGACCACAGTCATCACAAGAGTACCAATATTCCTCTACCTAAAGTGTTTTCTGAATACATAATCAGACATCAAATAAAAATTTACTTATTTTCAGCATTCTGTCCGTGGGTGTTGTCTGTATGATTTACTTTTTACGAATCAGCTGAAATAGGAGATAGTGTCATCCCATCTTCTGCTGTAGAAATGACTCTGCTCAAGATTTTTTCTATTGCCTTGTAGATTAGACTTAGAGTTTTGGGTAGATAGATGTTGCCATGGCATGAATCCATCTTCCTGCTTCACTTTCCTGAACTAGTCTATGAGTTAACTCTCACTCTATAGCAAACTATGGCTTCAAACACCAAGCATTGATTTTACTTATGACCTAAACTCCTGCCAACATCTCAGCTAACCTCTTCTAGGTCTCTATGCCTGGCAGATCTTGGCTAGGATGTTTCATAGACACCTGGGATGATTCCTCTTGTCCCATGCTGGGCTCTCACCCTCCAGAAAACTAGCTTAAACCAGTTAGCACAACAAGAACTGGAGACCCAAGAGAGTGAAAAGAATTTCTGCAAGACCTCTGGTGCCCAGACTTCAAGCCTGCATGAACGTCACGGCGACTGCATCCATTCACCCACAAGTCAGGATGCCAGGCCAGAATGGAGGGTGGAAGAGGGGAAGCAGCTTCAGTTCTTCATGGGAGAAGCTGCAGAGTCAGTCATAGGGCGAAGCATGTGCGGACCCAGGGGGTGAATTCTGGTCGTGTCCGCAGTTATGAATCAGTGGTCTCTGTCTTCAGTAGCTTTTTATGTTTTTAACCAGATATTGTTTTGCAGGACTGAACAATTGTGATGGACCTACTAGTGAAAGTGACATTTTCCGGAAGGCCTCGGAGCAGCTGGTGAAATACTTCAGCTCAGGAAACTGGTTATTGCCTAAAAACTTTCAAAAGCACGAAGTGGTTCAGAGATTCTTGCGCCTCCTTTCTTCTTTGCAAGGTAAATTTTTCCTACAGTATTTAGTTATATTAAAACAGCTTCATACTCAGTAAAACACTTTTTTGCATATATTTAAAAATTAGCTAAAAGATAAATATAATTTTTCCGTATAAAAGCATTTAAGAAGACAAAATTATTCAGTGGAAAGTCTGTTATTGACTGTTGAACAACCTGGTGCTTATTTTACATGTATCCTCTTAGAGTTATCCTTTGCCAACAAAATTATTTAAAAATACCACAAACACTTCTATACATATTGGCTAATGTTGATACAAATTTTGGTAGAAACTGAATGTTAATTTTTCCTCTGAGGGTATTGGGATACTACTAAAAGAACTTACAGGATAAACTGTTGGTAGTTTGGGAAGATTCCAAAAACCCCAGTAAGTGCAGTTTAGTATTTCTTAAATCAGCCATCAGTATGGTCCGTACAGCATCACTGCTACCATATGTGGGGCAGAGATTTCTCAGTCTTACAGAGAATGCAGATAGGTGATGCCCGGATGCATTTACAGCTCCGAGCAGGCAGCAGAAGATAAGCTTGGAGTTTTGCATTTCAGTCTCAGCTGTGCCACTTACCAAGTTTGTGACCTTGGACCAATTACTTAGCTCCTTTAAGCTTCCATTGCTATTCAGTAAGGATCTATTTCAATAGAATATTATTTTACCCTTAAAATATATCAGCAGTATGAACTGGGATAACCATTACATTTGTAGAGATCCATTGTAAACATGCATCATGTGCGAAGTCAACAGTTGAAGTTAAATCACCCTTTCCTCATTACCCTACATTCTTGATACTATCTCCTTGTGTTTCAGTGTTCTAGAAACAGGAATATGCAAAACTTGAGTCAGGCCTTACTATCTTTTCTTCATTTTTTTATTTAGGCTCCACTATTTATAAAACTGTTGATATCAGAGTCATGGGCTCTTTCCCTTTTGACTCAGTAGAATTCCTGTTCTCCATTTGTTCTTTTGGATGACCCAGCCAGCAATCTGCTCTCCTGGACCCAGCAATACTCTCCTTAGGAAGCCTAATCATCCTGAGTAGCTCAGGCTGACTTTCACAAGTCAAGTAGCATGCTTGTTAGTTAAGTACTGGCTTCACTTTCCATGGTGCTTAGAACTACTCACTGGTAACCAACTGTTAATGTATATATGGGGGTGTGGTTGGTGGCAGAAACCGTTTTTCACTGTGTGCTATATTCTTTCATTTTGGAAAGAAATTCCTCCCGACCTGTTCTGTGACATTAATCATGACTGTGCCAACGCCTTCATCAAGTTTTTACTAGAAAGACACAAGTGGCCGGAAGTGCTACTGCTGCTGACTCGCAAAGTGAGTGGGGAGCCCCCGCTCGGAGATTTTGTCCTCCGAGCCTGCTGCTTCTCGGACCTTGACCTCTGCTCTGTCATCCCGCACCTCAGCACTTGGGACCACCGGAGGACCCTGCTTCTGGACCGCCTGATCGATGGAGGAGGTGAGAACCAGAATGGTCATCCTGGAGAGCTGTCCGTGGTTCTGCGCTCGTCACCTGCCACAGCGTCCCGTACTTGCTGTTAGAGGCTCCGTTCAGCCTGGCCTTCTTCCATTGTCCTCTGTCCTGTTTGAGACCCGGGATGGGGCTGATCCCAGGAGTGGTGCTGCCTGGCAGGAACCCTGCAGTTACGATTCCTCTCTACTGTCTTCTCTCTTCTCCTGGGTGAGAAGGCGCACATAGGTGAAGGCCTTTGCATCTGGATTAACCCTCAGTGGTCATATCTTCCTGGCCTTTTGTGGGCCTTTGCCCCACATGAAACTCCATGGCATTCTCTTCCCAGTGAGTAGATGGGGAGTTGGGCTGTGTGTTTTAAAGAGATTGTCAAATAATTGGTGGGTGGAAACATCTGTCGCTGTAATCAGCACCCACACTTGGCGGGTTGTGTGTCTGAAGTGCACAGACATCCTGCTGGATTGGGTTTTATTTTATCCTTATTTAGAAATAACCAGACTCTTCCCGCCCTCACCCACAACCCCCACCGATGCCACTACTAACTGTGTGGCCTTGGGCATGCTATTTATGCCTGCAGCTCCTCATTTAGGAAATGGGACAGCAATAGTCACTCTTTCTTTGGGATGTTCTTCGTAGTAAGTGAGTTTGTGCATGCGAGCTCCTGGAGGAGCTCCCTGTCAGTGTGCTTGACTGCAGGCTTTGTGATGAAGAGGAAAGGCCTTTCTGAGGAAGGGCCTTGGGCTCTGCTCTAAGTCCCACACAACACTTTTAGGCATTGGTTCTCTGCATTCTGTGGGAAATAGGTGGAATACCTTCTCCTTTTTATTTCTTCAAACCCATTCCATGCGTGGGGCATTACTAGCCCTGCACAGAATTATAGTGTCATGGACTTCCTGGCTTTGTTTCTTCAGTCAGCAAGCACTTACTGAGAGTGTATTTGGGATGAACTGCTGGGAATCCAGAATAGAGAGGCACATGGGAGGTGACATAGGGACAGTGGTAGAGGGCCCTGCGCACTTTGAAGTGTTTGGCTGCAGTAACTTTGTACATTAATGCTATAAAGGCTAACACTATTGTAACCAGGATGCCTAAATGATAATACATGTTTTTTAATTTAAAAAAGAAGAGAGGGGTGTGTGCACACAGGGGTGGGGACACAGTGCTGGGGACTACCAATGCACTACTGTAGATGGGGGCCAGGAAGCCTGCAGAGCATGCAACATTACTGGGTCTCTGCTCAGAGGAAGGTGAGAGCAGGAGGAGAGATGTCAGGTGAGGTGACATTAGCGTCACGCTGGGTATTATTAGAGAAGGCTCACAGAAGCAACACAAGTGCCCTGGCCACTGACTCTGTGTTCCCTGCCTTGTGGGACAGACATGGAGTTTTCACTTGTTGGTCACTCTGAACCCTCTGTACGACAGGTTCTGTGGTCCAGCTGGGCAGCTGCAGAGGTGGCAGAGGCCAGGCCCAATGACAGAATGCCAGAAGGAGCTGGACCAGGAACAATGGTGGTGACAGGGGTGTGCTCTTGCCTTGGAATCGGTGGTGGAAGAGCCCCTTCCTCAGGGGTTCCCTACTCAACGTAGCAATAAGGTCTCACAGGTGCCCTTCACCTCCTACAGCCTTGCCTGAGGGTCTCCAGGAAAGACCCCTCTCTGTGTGCCTCGAACACGAAGACTTCGAGTTGGCTTTTGTTCTGCTGAACCGGGGTGCAGACCCGCACTTCCTCTCTCTCACGGAAGGCGATACGCCTCTGCATGCAGCACTCCACATCTTCTTAGACATCCAAGGTAAGCCTTGCGTTTCTCAATGTGTTGTCCTTGAGGTGTCTGGCTGGGAGAGACGATGCTGTGCCTTTTGGTTTTCCCCTCTAGGACAACCAACCATCTGGGGACAAAGAGTGGGAAAGCTCACCTCAGATCCAAGCCTGTTTGTCTCCCCTGGCCTCTTACTGCAGTTTGAGAAGGAGGTGTGATCAATATGAATGGTGGGGGGAAGGGAGGAACATTAGGACCCTTAAGTTTCAGAGTTGGTAGGCTGTAGTGGATGAACACAATCCACTTGTTTATACCATTCTCAAGGTTGTTGATGTGAAGCATCTTACTGGAATATTAAAGTTGGCTTCAGGCTCCTAAACCTTGGCACTATTGACATTATTATTATTATCATCCAGTTCTATGAATTGAAACGTGTTTTGTAGTGTCCCTGCCACCACCTGAAGCTAAATGCCACAAACCCTTTCCTCGTTGCAACCTTTGAGGAGCAAAGAGCCTCCCTAGTTGGAAATCGCTGTGTTGCTTAATGGATATCACATACTTCGGGGAAGTTGAGGGGAGGGTTCTGAGATGCCCCAGGCTGGTGTCTCTATCAAATTCAGGAGTCTTCTGTCCCCAGGAAGAGCAGCTGAGTACTCACGGGTTTTTGTTTATGTTTTTCAGTCAACATCGGTTTTAACTTGCTCAGCTACCTGTTGGATCTATTCTGGTACAACCCCACTGAATTTGACTACCTCAACCCCAACGTCCAGGATAGCAATGGAAATACCTTAATGCACCTCCTCTTCCAGAAGGGGAAGATGAAGCACACAAGGAAACTCATAGAGCTGCTGGCAAGGTTTGACATTAACTTGAACCTGAAGAACAAGGAAGGAAAAGATGCACGCCATCGGATCAAGAAGAACGATTCTTTGCTTTTGACCTGGAACAAAGCGGTGACAGAGAACAGGCGGAAGGTCCGGCAGGACCCTGCTGCTCAGCCCCCAGGCAGGTTCCCGAGGCAGGGCACCCCTGGGCACCCGTCACTCAAGGGCCAAGGCTCGTTCAAGTCCCCACCGTGCTCTGAAGAGGCTGAGGTCCCGGACAGCTGGGAAAGTCTTCCTGAAGCCCAGCTGAGCAGGCCAGAGACCGGAGACGCCAGCTCCTGCTCTCTGAGAGACCGCCTTGTGCAGGATATCACGGTTTTGATTCAGCAGGTTGAACTGGAGACATCCCTGCAAGAGGACTGTCCTCAGAGCTCCAAGCCTTGCAAGGCAGGGACTGGCGCAGAAGTAAAGAGAAACAAGCTCCAGCAAACCCTGGGGTTGGGGGCCACAAACTGTGGCGAGGATGACCCCACTGCCCTTGAGGTAGTGGGGGGCTGTGGCCAGACAGGCCCGCTTCTTCCTGCCTGCCTCCTCAGGAAAGAGGGCAGTGAGGACCAGGACGACTGGGGCATGCAGGAGATTGAGGCTTGTCTCCAGGACTTTGACAACATGACATGGGAGATCGAGTGTACTTCCGAAATGCTCAAAAAACTGTCCAGCAAGGCCATGACGAAGGTCATAAAGAAGAAGATCATCCTGGCCATCCAGCAGCTGGGGAACGGTGAGTGGACTCAGGGCCTACAGAAACGGCTGAAGCATCTGAAGGGAAACATCCAGCTCTTTGAGGCCAAACTCGACAAAGGAGCCCGGATGCTGTGGGAGCTGGCCATCGACTTCTCCCCACGCTGCAGCGAGAACCCGGAGAAGATCTTCGCCACAGAGCGGAATGTGCAGCCCATGGAGAAGTCGGGACGGGTCTACACAGAAATCATTCGCATCTGGGACATCGTGCTGGATCACTGCAAACTATCCGACTCCATTAGGGCCATCTGCAGTGCCTACGACCGGGGCTTCTCCTGTGTCCTGAGAAAAAAGCTGAAGGGCATCAACAAAGGCCGGGTATCAGCCAACAAGAAAATCCAGAAGCGGATCCCGCGCTGCTATGTGGAGGACACAGAGGCAGAGAAGAGCAGGGAACACATGAATACCGAGTACTTCCCGCCCGCCAGCTCAGTGGATACAGAATACAACATCATGAAGTTTCACAGTTTCAGCACCAACATGGCCTGCAACATCCTCAATGACATGACGGCCACGGTGGAGTACCCGTTCCGCGTGGGCGAGCTGGAGTACGCTGTGATTGATCTCAACCCTCGGCCGCTGGAGCCCATCATCCTCATTGGCCGCAGTGGCACTGGGAAGACCACTTGCTGCCTCTACCGACTGTGGAAGAAGTTCCACGTGTACTGGGAGAAAGCCGATCAGGCAGGCAGTCCGCTCCTCACCAAGCCAATCCTGCCTAGGAGAAGGTTGGAAGTGGAAGCCAGGAAGGAAGGCCCTGGTGCAGAGGAGGAGGAAGAGGAGGAGGAAGAGGAAGGCTCCATTGAAGTGGAAATATCAGACAGCATAGAGGAGGAACAGGAGAGTGAAGCTGGGGCAGGGGGAGGCAGTGGGGAGCCAGCAGGGCACAGCCAAGAGGTGGACATAGGTGCCGATGAGCTGCCCCAACAGCTGGAGCATTTGCATCAGATCTTCGTGACCAAGAACCACGTCCTGTGTCAGGAGGTGCAAAGGAATTTCATTGAGCTTTCCAAGTCCACCAAGGCCACCAGTCATTACAAACCCTTGGAGTCCAATGTCTACAAGCTCCAGGACCTGCGGGATGAGAATTTCCCTCTGTTTGTCACCTCCAAGCAGCTGCTTCTCCTCCTGGACGCCTCACTGCCCAAACCCTTCTTCCTGAGGAATGAAGACGGCAGCTTGAAAAGAACGATTGTGGGGTGGTCCGCTCAGGAGGAGCTGAGCATCCCCAATTGGCAAGAGGACGAAGAGGAAGCCGAGATGGACGGCGACTGCGGGGAGGAGGATAAAGCCGCAGAAGCACGCGCAGGTGACAGTGATCCCCGGGTGTATGTGACATTCGAAGTGTTCACCAATGAAATATGGCCCAAAATGGTCAAAGGGAAAACCTCCTATAACCCTGCTCTCATCTGGAAGGAAATAAAGTCTTTTCTGAAGGGGTCTTTCGAGGCCCTCAGTTCCCCCCAAGGGAGTCTCACAGAAGAAGCATATAAGAAATTAGGGCGGAAACGGTCCCCCAATTTCAAGGAAGACCGGAGCAAGATCTATAATCTCTTCTGCCTCTATCAGCAGATCAGATCTCAGAAAGGTTATTTTGATGAAGAGGATGTTCTGTACAACCTGTCGTGCAGGCTGTCGAAGCTCAAGGCACTCCCGTGGTCCATCCACGAGCTGTACGGCGATGAGATTCAGGACTTCACCCAGGCTGAGCTGGCGCTGCTGATGAAATGCATCAATGACCCCAATGCCATGTTCCTCACCGGGGACACGGCCCAGAGCATCATGCAGGGTGTGGCCTTTCGCTTCAGCGACCTGCGCTCTCTGTTCCACTATGCCAGTAGGAACACCACTGACAAGCAGTGTGCTGTCCGGAAACCCAAGAAGATCCACCAGCTGTACCAGAATTACAGGTCCCACTCGGGTATGTCAGCCCTGGCTTGCCTCCGTCTTGGGGAGGTGGTGGGACAGATGCCCTTGGGCTGCTGCTGAAACTGCAGCCAAGCTCTGGGAAACTTTTTTAAGGTTATCATCTTGAAGTTTGCTAGTGGGTGCCCTCATAAGTAAGATTGCTCACTTGTCGCCACTGTTCATTTTAGGATGGTAGTTTAAGCTGTGATTGAGTCCAGTGGATGGCCTTTAGGTCGTCACCTTTTAAGGGCTTGCTATGAGGTATTGCAGAGGTATTGGAGAATGTTTAAAGTGAATTTTTTTTGGTAAGGCACCTTGGAAGCCTCTCTGTGTGTGCAACACCAGTTGCAAGTCTTTAGTCCTAAACAGCTTCTAAGCAGAAGACCTGACGGGGTGAGACGGGGAGAGAGGTGATGCACACTCAGGTGCTTTGACTTTGAACCTCAGTTGTTCCTCTTCTGTCTGTCCCATAACCCCTTCCCCACCACTATTCTGTTCCATTGACCAGCTCTCAGGTTCTGTTGCCTTTGTCTAATTTGCTGTTTTGTAATTATGTTTCTCTTTATATCACACATATATAAATTTCTTTATAGCCACATATGAGTCTGAGAAAAATAATACGGGTATTTCTTGATATTAAAATATGGAAGTCAAAGGTTTTACATTTTCATATTGTCTATAGTAATTAATTTCTTTTTCTATGGATGTCCAACTTCCTCTGAAAAATTGTTGAAAGGGAAGTTCCTCCTCCTAATTGTTCTTTCATTTGTATTAAAAATTAGTTAGATATTCTTACTTAGTTGGATATTCTGGATGTGAGACACCACGCCATGCTGTTTATTGGTGGTATCTGTGCTTACTCCTCGCAGCTCTACAATGGAGGCATCATTCCCATTGCACCAAAGAGTAAAGTGAGGTAGAGAGGGCTTCAGTAGCACCACCCAGTGCCTAATGTGGTCTACAGAGCACTTTTAAATTTGTCCTGTCCTGCATGTGTCCCCAAGCAATAGAGACTGTTATTTTGTACGTTCAGGCACTGGGTTAACCTCCCAGTGGTGCTGAGGATACTCCTGGCAACTCTTAACCTGTGATTCCGTGCAAGGGGCCATCCAAGGATGCCGTGCTGCTCAGACCCTGGTGCTGGTGATTACTCTGGCCACCCTGAGTTTGGGGGCCCCCAGGGCCACACCAAATGATCCTTATGGATCACGATGCTCCTGGTGGTGCATATGAACTTCCAGGGCTGCATCCATCAATGCTTTAGAGAGGTCATGTTCTGGGAATCAAACTGGAACTGAGCACGAACAAGACATGTACGTTAACCTCTCTAATAACTTTTCAGCCCCCAGAAACTTTAATGAGACCATGCCAGACAAACAGGAAGGAGGTGCCTGTAGCTGGTTTCATATTATGATTTTATTTTTGGGTCACACTTAGCAGTACTCAAGGCTTATTCCTGGCTTTGTGTTTAGGGATTTGGGGGAAATGTATGTGATGCTGGGGGGGGAAGGGAGGGACGAAGGGAAGGAGAGGGAGAGAGAGGAAGAGAGAGGGAGGGAGGGAGAGAGAGGAGAGAGTGTTAAAGCACTTGGCTTGCATGCTATCAACTCTGGTTTGATTTAAGGCACTGCATGTGGTTCCCTGAGAACTGCTGGGTGTGACTCAAAATCACTCTCATGTCTCCAAAAGAGATTCATTCAGTTAGTAAGTGGAGCTCCTGCATTCCTATCTTTAGTTTTCTGCTCCTGGTTTATTTATTGACTTCATTGATTTTGTTTTGTTTTGGTTCCACACCTGGTGGAGCTCAGGGCTTATTCCTGACTCTGCTCTCATGAATCACTCCTGGTGGGGGCTTGGGGGACCATATGGGATGATGGGATTGAACCTTTGTTGACTAAATTATACAAGGCAAGTATTCTGCCTGCTCTACTATTGCTCTGGCCACTCTGCTCGTGGCTTTGGCTCAGTTTTTTCCCATTTTTTTAGTGAATGGATGCTGTTGTGAATGCTTTTTATTATTTGATTTTTTTCCTTTTATAATGTGATACTTAACTCATTCAGACAGTTGCTATGTGAACTAATATCCCAGCTTTTGGATGGAAGACTTGAGTGAATGTATTTCTCATGTTGAATCAGAAATAACCTGAATAAATTATTATAGAGACATTAGGAAATACGAGATTTTTGGGAAATATTCCAAGATACAAATACTACTATTAACGTTTGTTTCATTTTCTCTGATAGTAATTTTTCTCTATACACAAGATACGTATTTATCACATTCATTTACTATCTAATGAATATATGCTACTAGTGAATATATGCTATATTAACTGAAAGGATTCTTTTGTTTTATGCTTTTTGAAAATTGAGATTCACATACAATAATATCTGTTTAGAGTGTGCAGTTTGGCTAGTTTTAATATATTCACAAGATGTCCGAGAGTATCTCGCCCGCACGGCAGAGCCTGGCAAGCTCCCTGTGACGTATTCGATATGCCAAACACAAGATGTGCAGCTGTTACCGCTAATTTCAGAACATTTTCATTACTCCAGAAAGAAACCTTCATCATTAGATTAGCAGGCATTACTCATTCTCTGCTCCTGCCATTCATATCTTCCAAAACTACTCATGTACTCTCAGATGTGCCTTTTCTGAAAATTTCATATAAATGGAATCACACAATATGTGGCCCTCTGTGTCAGGCTTGGCATTTAATATAATGTTGCCCAGGTTCATTCACGTTGTAGCCCATATCATTACTTCATATTTATATCAAAATGACTTACCTGATTCTTTAAGAGGACATTTAAGTGGATCCAAACTTTTCCCCATTGTGAATTCTCCTGAGCCCTTCTTTCACTTTCCCATTAATGCTGATCCACACCACAGCCTATTTGCTGAGATCCAGTCAGTCCCACCAGTTTTCATTTTCTGTACATTCTATACATTGAATAATATCAGTAAAATTTCCCTTTATTGCTTGGTAATAATCGTAGAGACATATATGTACATTTCATGATGTTCTACCAAAATCATAGTTTTCCCTCAGGTCTGAGCCAATGGCCTCTGAGAACAGTGGGAGGATTTGTATCCAGGCACTTCAGATCCTGCAACTTGGAGTTTACAAACTTGCACCTTTGAGTCAGTGTTTGTCAAGACAGGATTGTAGGGTCTGTCTTATTGGGAAAATACCTGGCATTCAGTGATATTTATTCAGCATCATTACATCTCAATTTTACCTCATAGTATCTTTGACAAGGTGTGAAAGCCAGAGGGAAAGCTCTGGTGAATCGTGTTCTCACCGGCTCTGACATTTCCCCCTGTGTATTCCTGTTAGGTAGGTATAACCCTAGTGCAAAAGGTGATAGAGGCCTTGGTTGCTGCCCCTCACTACCATCCAGCTCTGCTGTTACTGTGGACACTCTGTGTCCAGTGCTTTGAGCAGCAGTGAGAAGTTCCAGGATAACTCTTGTTTCCTTATCATTGACACAAGCCCCTTCTAGTAGTGTTCTAAGAACTCTGATTCCATTATAAGTTCTTCATGGACTCTTTGGGAGGTGGTTTTTAGAGGTCAGGACTGAGCTTTCATAAATGCTTCTTAGCACAGCAACATCCATCTCTCTCTCTCTCTCTCTCTCTCTTTCTGTCACCTCTCTTCTTCCCCTCCCCACTGTACCCAGAGTAGTATGGCTTGGAGCTAAAGTGTTTATCTCATGGGTATTGAGTTTGCAAAGAAAAAAAGAAAAATATATACACATTCAGAACCAATATTGCTTAAGCAAAACCCAATCAAAACCAGAACAACACAACAATAGCAACAACAAAATCCTGTCATTTGTACAACCTCTGCTGCATCTTCTGTTTAATCCCAGGAATCCTCAATCTAGCCTCTGGAGTGGTGGATTTGCTTCAGTTCTACTTCCCAGAATCTTTTGATCGCCTTCCTAGAGATTCTGGCCTCTTTGATGGCCCCAGACCCACTGTCCTGGAGTCCTGTAGTGTAAGTGACTTGGCAATTCTGCTACGAGGGAACAAAAGGAAAACCCAACCCATTGAATTTGGAGCCCACCAGGTGAGTATCATGAGACTAGGCATTGAGCGAATAAAAAAGGTTGGAAGGGCTGGACTGTTCCATGAGGTAGAATTCAATAGCCCTTTCCTGCAGTGTGTCAGTTCCAGAGACAGGCAAGTGACTGACTTGCCTGGCAAATCAATAATCAACTTCTCTTCTCTTTGGAATATATAAGCAGCCTCCCCTAAAAAATAGACCGAGCGTTCCTAGATTTCACTTTGTAAAATTTGATGTTTCCTTTCTTACCTCACCCTTTCCCCCACTCAGGTAATCCTTGTAGCTAATGAAACTGCAAAGGAGAAAATTCCAGAAGAGTTGGGGTTGGCACTTGTGCTAACAGTTTATGAAGCAAAAGGCTTAGAATTTGATGATGTCCTCCTTTACAACTTTTTCACCGATTCTGAGGTATGTCATGCTGAACTTTTTGCACACAATGCTTATATATGTATGAGCCTCCTTTCCTGTCCAGGATGGAGAATTTGGAGCCGAGGAGCGGAGAGTTTGCCACATGTGCCTGTTTCTGCTCTGGAGCACCATCCACTGAGTGTGGGGCTTTGTGTGTTTGGATGTGGATTTTGACAGTGGCTGTGGATTGTTTCACAATGTGTCGTGGGCTGGTTCTCCCCGTGCCCTGCCCTGCCCTCTGGCAGATACCCTCTTCTGAATACCTGGTACCCAAGTGCTAGTTTCTGTTTTTACCACACTGCCTTATCCTTGACTCCCAAGGATGCTTGTGTTGGAATGAGCGCTAACGAATGGCTTACAGATGAAGGCAGTATTAGCCATGGTCATCCTGGGAGGACAGAATGGGGCAAGGTCAATGCCTAGAAAGAGACAACTCTGGGAAGATGGGTGAAGCATGCTTCCTGTCCACTGGACCAGGTAATGCAGGGGACGAGAACAGCCACCCTCCCAAGAGACATCCTCCGCATGGCTTTGCCACCACTGCTTGCTACCTGTGCAGACACTGGCAGTGAAAGAGTCCCCGGCTGACCCCCCAGTAATGTCTATGCCAGTCCACCACTTGAGTTGGCTCCTGAGTCCCAAGGGGTGATCTTTTCCCATGAACTCATTACACTGTGGGTAGATCCACCAACCCTGGCTGTTGGTGTTGGTTTTCTAGCCACAGGCTTCTCTTCACCCGCCTGTTTTTTTGGCAGGGCCACCGACTGGCTGGCGGTTTTACAGTGGGATCGCCATTTGGTGACTTATCTGCCATGTCCTGGTCCCACCGCACATGGTGCATGTTTGAAGGGGCTGTTGACCATGCCCCCCTGCGAAACACTGTTAGCTTTGACACCTTAAAATCTGCCCCAGAACTCACAGTTTCAAAGAGTTCTTAGGATTTTTCTGTTCGTAAAGGAAAAAAGAAAACAAAATGCCATGTCTGCCTTGCCAGTACCTACCACCAATATTGCTATGGGTGCTTTACAGTTGGTAAAGTCACTCACTTCATCCTTCATCAACCTGCTGAGGTTGCATGTTTGTTTGTTTCTTATCACCCTTATTCTGGAGATAAAGCTGAGGATCATGGAAATTAAGGCAATTACCCAGTCATAATAGATATGGTGGAGTATTAAAATGAAGTCAGTCCCTTTGAGTTCCAATTTGAGTTTAAATTTCATGATCTTCCTACCTTACTTGCTTCCTTTTAAAGCCCCGCATGCAAATTGGCTTCTCAAACTTCCATAAAGAGGAAATCATCACCAAACCTTAAGTCTGTTCCTTTCTATTGACTTCTGCTAACCAGATACACTCATTAATCCTGAAGCTAATCTAAACCTCTGAGGACTAACTATTTTTTTCTCATAATACATCCATTGGTCATGGTTGGACTGAGACTCTCCTAAAAGAGGAAGGGGTAAGACTCCATTGTTCCTGTCCTTTATTAAATCCCAGTTGTATGTTTGTATTTCAGTGAGGTGTTCAAGGGGCTCTCGGACATATGGTTCTATAACTTGACAACTCATTTGTAAAAAAAAAAAAGGTACTCTGTCACCTTGGTCCTGGAAATCCAAAGACCTGGGTCTTTTGACCCTGAGCTACCACCAGTGAGTTGCATGAAAATAGAATGACCACAGGCACACTTGTTTGGTAACATTTGCTTCATTCTATGTACATGGTAATACTGCTACAAAGATTTCTGATGTGGTGCTTGGGATGGTAGGTATGCATTCCCTGGCACACAGTGTACCCTTAGTTGAGCATTTACAGCATCAAAATCAAAAAGCATCAGTCAGTAGAAACAGAGACAAAATGCTTTCATCAAGTCATCCATCAAAGCAGAGGAAATACAGAGATTGCATCAGTCCTGGTCGCCCAGGTCTCTGGTTGCTTCTGTCTGGTGTCCCTTGAGATGATTGGCTGAAGGCTGCTGAATGGGACTATTAGACAGAGAGAGATGTGGATAGACAACTTGTCTCACCATCTCTTGCCTCTTCTTCCTTGTTTATATTTCTGGTAGGCACATTTTTTTTTTGCCATACCTATCAAGTTTGCATGTAAGCGCATGTGCACACACAGGCTCAGGTTCGTGATTCTTCTCTTTATAGGACATCATTGTTACCTCTTCAATCATATGGTCACCAGAACCAGGCAATGATGACGGCAAATCCTTGCCCTATCAGATTTTGCCTCCTTTTCGGGAAGGGGACAGTCATTCTTCGAGTCACCTCCAAATACTCCTCTAGTGTGGACTTGAAAGGTTTCCTTCACTCATGCATGACTTCATGCGTTGTTTAGTTTAGAGAACAGACCTTACTATGTTGTCTTTTCCTCTCCTACTATTATAATGCCAATAAGGAGAAGCCCGCAGACCTAAGTGCTTCTTTATGGCCTCAAGTACTGCGGGCCAGGTGGGGTTCTTGCTGCAAACACACATGCTCCTCTAAGGCTGTCTTGAAAGTAAAACGTGCTTTATTCATCCAAACAGGGTCATCCTGTGCCCTGTGAGCTGCTGTTGCTTTTTCACTCAGCAGTTTTGAATCTGTTATGCATCCCTTGCCCTCCAGGCCTCTTGCCACCTGCTGGGTCAGGGAGAGCCTCTCATCGCCAGGCACAGTGTCTCTCCTCAGCACAGCACTCAGTTGTATGAAACAACAGCCTTCCAGAGAGGACATTCATAAGTCTGTCTTCAAAAGATCTTTTTATTTAACCTCCCACTTTGTCAGGGATTAAGGACTCACCATTCTTCAAAACCAGTGATGAGTCCCAGAGTTTGGTAGGATAGCAGCTGTTGCATAAGATGCACTGCCACAGGTGCCGCAGTCTGCTAATGAAACCATATTCTAGTGTGAGCCACTGGTGGTATGCAATGACATTGTCCTGTTAATAGTGTTGAACACAGTTAACTTAATACTTACATAGTTTAAGTTGAGAGTTTCTTTTTTTTATTATTGAATCACATGATATACACAGTTACAAAGCTGTTCCTGATTGGGTTTCAGTCATATTCATTCAGCTCCAACACCCATCTCTTAACCAGTGTACATTTCTCACCACCAGTGTTCCCAGTTTCCCTCCTTACCAACCCCCGCCCACAGCCTGCATCTGTGTCAGGCATTTTTCTTCTTTCCTCTCTCGCTCTCTCTCTCCTCTTTCCTTGTGGGCACTATGGTTTGCAATATAGGTGCTGAGAAATTATCAGATATTGTCCCTTTACCTACTTTCAGCAGTCAGTTCTTGTCCAGATTGATCATTTCAAACTATCATTTTCTTAGTGGTCCCTTATCTATCCAAACTGCCTTCTCCCCCAGCCCCAGAGGCAGTCTTCCAACCATGGACCAATCCTCCTGGCCTCTCTCCTTGGGTATTAGTCTCATGCTATTTTTTTTTTTGTTTTTCACAAATGATTGCAACCATTCTGTGTCTGTTTCTCTCCTTCTGACTCAGTTCACTCAGCATGATACTCTCCATGTTCATCTACTTACAGGCAAATTTTATGACTTCATTTTTTGGTGGCTGTGTAGTATTCCAAAGTGTGGATGTACCATAGTTTCTTTATCTAGTCATCTGTTCTCTGGCACTTGGGTTGTTTTCAGAGTCTGACTATTGTGAATAGTGCTGCAATGAACATAGAAGTGCAGATGGCATTTCTGCTGTTTTTGCACTCTAGGAGTGGTACTGCTGGGTCATATGGAAAGTCAATTTCTAGTTTTTTTTTGAGAAAAGCCATATTGTTTTCCAAAGATTCAACCAGTTAGCATTCCCACCAGCAGTGATTAGTGTCCATTTCTCCCTACATCCACATTAGCACTGGTTGTTCTTGTTCTTTTTGATGTGTGCCAGTTTCTGTGGTGTGAGACAATATCTCACTGTTGTTTTGAGTTGCATATAAGTTAAGGATTTTCGTAAAAGAGGAAGTAAGCTTGATATCTTTTATATCCTCCTGAAAAAGGTGTATCAGTGACATTGCACCAGGCCAAGAGACTATGACATGTGAAATTTCAGTGGAATTCTAGATTCTAAAAAACGTCTGTAATCTTTACCTGTCAGCTTCCCCTGAGCCTGCACACACTATCTGATGGAGACCAGAGCCCTGCCCATTGACAATTTTTGTATAATCTGAGAGCTAACAATAGCTTTCACATTTTTAGATGGGTGGGGGGAAAGAAAGGAAAACAAATATATGAAAATGATGTAAAAGTTTTGTTTTGTAGCCTAAAGATAAAGTGTTTTTGGAACTCAGAATGTCTGTGGTTACATCTGCACCACAGCAGACTGAGTCGTTGTGAGAGAGACCATATGGTCTGTGAAGCCAGAAATACTCTGAGGTGAAAACCTGCCAGTCCCTGGTCTGTGCAGTCACTGGAATTTTGGGGGCTAGGTTTGAGGAAAGGGAAAAATAACTAGCATATCAGCTGTTTATTAAGCTTTGTGTTAATCACTTGATACTGATTATCTCCTTTTATTTTCCCAACAAACATGGAGGATTGTTTATGCCCATTTCACAGAGCAAGAAAGTGAGACCACAAAAAAAGCCCTTTTTTAGGTGATAGAGCTTATAAGAGGAAGAATATTTCGAGTATTTTTAGTTTTGGCTTTTTAGGTCACACTTGGTGATGCTCAGGGGTTGCTCCTGGCTCTGCACTCAGAAATTAACTGCTGTGGTGATCTGGGTGTGTGGGGGGGATGTGGAGGGAAGAGCGTATGGGATACCAAGAGATTGGCCAGGTAAAAGGCAAACACCCTACGAGCTGCACTTTTGCTCCAACCCCAATAAGTGGAAGAATTGAGATATGACTTGTCCTAACTCTGACTTAGAATCTCTGCCTTGCACAGAGTACCTCATTACCTCTGAGTAATGCTTCAGCCATGATTGAATAATTTAGAGAAATGTAACCATGTGAGATATTCTCCAGTGTGGGTAGGGTGCATGCCTTGCACGCGGTAGACTTGGGTTCAATATCTGGTGTCACATGGTCACATGTGTTTCCCCCCTTGCACCTCTAGGAATGATCCCTGAGTGCAGAGCCGGAAGTAAACCCTGTGCAGCACCAGGTGTGGCCCCAAACAAACAAAATATTTCCATGTCTCTTATCAGCTATTGTCCTAACCGGCATTTGCTGACTTTTTTCAAATGTGGTCAGGGAAACTTGGTTCCTTTAAACTGCTTGTTTGAATTCAAATTTCAATAAGAATTTTCTGGCCCCTAAGCCTTTATCTCTCACAAATAGTCACATGTGCCTGGCCCATGGACCAGGTGTCCGGGGAGTCCTGATCCTTGTCTTTGCAACTTGAGTTTCTGTCCATCTCCCTGACTCGAGGGTTATGTCCCTTTTCATAGTCAGGGCTGAAGTCCTGCTCCCTGGACTAGGGCTCCATCCTCCATGAGACCTAGGGAAGCAATGTGTGTAGCGCCCCAGCACATTCCGTTGGTCTTTAATTTGTCATTGTTGTTCAGGCTTACAAGGAATGGAAGATCATTTCCTCATTTACTCCTTCATCATCGGACTTCCAAGAGAACCAGCCACTGATTGAAGTGCCCCTGGAAAAGCCCAGCTCCTCTCAGGGGCGGTCTCTCACAGTGAATCCAGAAATGTACAAGGTGACTTTCTGCTGTTTGGCTTCACTCACACTTATTAGGGGAACCTATAAACAAGCTGAGGTGATGTGATTAAAGGAGGAGCACTGGGGCTAGAGAGATAGTACGGGAGTTAGGCACTTGTGCCTCTCTGACCATGGTTTGAATCCCAGGAATCCCATATAATTTCCTGAGCAGTTCTGGGAATTCTGGCCCTCCTGAACACAGGTCCAGGAATAACCTCCAAGCACTGTAGGTGTGCCACCAACCCTACCCCGAAAGGAAAAATGACGGAGCCTTGCACCTGGTTGACCTTCCTGGAGTAGCGAGTGGAGAAGGGAGGAGCAGAGGTACAGTGTTAACAAACTCCCTTTTCTCAGCAGATCTGTGTCTGGGCCGGATAAGCACATTCTGAAAGTGGACAGGGGTTAGGGGAAGGTGGCACCTTTGAACTTGGCTCTGTTCGGAAATGTGACTTTTGTCTCATGTGGGAACTCAGAAGTGAAGTCCAGGACTCTAGTTAGTGGAGACTGATGATGGTGACTCCACCTACCAGACCTGACTGGGAGGGACCCAGTTTCCCAGCCACAAGGGGAGGCCAAAGCGAAGAAGGTCTGTGTGTTCCCAGTTGAGGAAGGCTCATGGGAACTTCATGAGGGTGAGGGTGAGAAAATGGAAGCAAGCCAAAACAAAAACTTGGGCAGAAGCTATTGTCCTAGTTTTCTGGCTCATACCAAGCAAACAACAAACAACAACAGAATAACGGTGATCAGACTATTTCTGTAAATGCCCAGAAGGCTCTGCAAAAATAGAAGTTAAATCATCGCCAAGCTATGCATACATTTCGGGTATCCACAAAAGCTTCCCTGTTTTGACGTGTGCATTTATTTAATCAAGGAGGACCTCTTTGTGTCTGAGTCATAGCCTCTTTATGTGCACAGTCCTAAGATGAGGTAGCTCATGAGTAATTTAGTATTAGTGATGGTAACCCGGGAAGTATAGGATTGGTCTAATTTTTAGAAATAAGTTACTGTAATTGTGGGGGATTGGGTAAAGTGAGCGATGGGACAGAGGACTTGTCTGTGCTGTCCTTGTCTATAATTATTTCAGACTATAAAACGATGGGGTTAGAGGGAGAGAGGATGCTCAGCAGGCTAAGTGCAAGCTCTGCATGAAAGAGACCCAGGCTTATGTCCTGGCACTACACATGGACCCCTAAGTGTGCCACCAGGGGCTGCCGCTCTGATCACAGAGCTGGAAGTAGCCCCCAAGTAGTGCTGGGGAAGTGGAAAATTACAGCAAATTAAGGGTCATCCTATACAAATGCTGTGCTCTCCTTCTAGAACCTTGCTTTTCTGCAGTGACCCAAGGGAGCTCCCGAGGTCCTCAGGGCTCTGCTGTCCTCTGAAATATAGTCCTTGTGTTTCTCCACAATCAGCGTTAGCTCACTGTGGCTTTAAAGACAAGGCTCACCCTCATTGTCCTCAATTTTGTCTGTAGCTCCTCAATGGAGAGCTGAAGCAACTGTACACGGCCATCACAAGGGCTCGGGTCAACCTCTGGATCTTTGATGAAAACCTGGAGAAGCGGGCCCCTGCGTTCAGGTATTTCACTAGAAGAAATTTTGTCCAAGTTGTGAAGACAGATGAAAATAAAGGTAAGCTACCATGCCCACATTTTACCGTGCACACATTTTCTGAGATAGGATACTTATTCTGTCCTCGACTGTTCTCATGGTCAAGTATAAAGGGTGTAGTTTGGGGGCCGTACCTCTTTCCTCCCCACATTCTTCTGAGAAATGAGAATTCATATTTATTTTCAGGATGGGTGGTAATGTGTGCTCCTGATGGGGTTGAGGGAGTTAACTTCATGAGAGATCTCCTATTTGTCTTTAAAAGTGAGGGCCATGAGTAAGAGGGAATATGCCCTCACAGGAAACTCAGATTGCTTTGGGAGGCCCATTGACAATTTCTGGCCACATAAAGAATGCACTCACCTTTTGACAGTCATTCTATCAGAAATCTGTCCTAGAGATATTCTTGTGTAAAGTCTCAAGGTTATGCACATAAGAAATTTTGGACAGCCCTTATTTATCATGAAAAGAAACAGCGTGACCTAAGTGTCTGCCTGTGAGAGCCCAGTCAGTGGCTCTGTTCCTGCTGGACTGGGCGGGTGTGTGGTGGGCAAGTCGATCAGGGCACCTTCACTGTGCACCTTTGTTCCCCTCTGGGCTACTGCAGGCATTTTTTGGTTTGTTTTTAAAAATTGCATACAGAAAGACTGGCTGATCGAAAGATAAAAATAAGTCCTTCTGATAGGATAACTAGAAGAGAAATATTAGCTCTTTGTGAAGGAGAAAATTGTCCTTTTCTGTGGGTTAGCTGCTGAGTTGACTCCTCCGGGCTATGGTTGAGGTCGCCAAGGAGAGGTGGAGGCATGTGGCTTAGCTGTTGCAAAGTGCTTTGCTTTTCCCAAAAGTTCTAAGGAGGTTATTTCTGATTATAGCCAGTGAATGGCTCAGCTGGGTATGAGGACTAGATGTTCTGTTCTGAGCCTGGCGATTGTAGAGGGTAATGGGAAAAGTGGAAGGCTTGGAGTTCGTCCAGCTGCTCATTAGCCCTCTCCACCCATACATCTACAGGGTCTTGTTCGGATGCCCTCTCCTGTCCCTTAACCGAAGGGAAAATGGGTGGGTTAGATGATTATGGTCATTCTTAATCTTCCCTGAGAATCACATTCTTCCATTCTCAAAATATGTTTCAGCACCAGTTATAAGAGATCATCTAGAGAGGCTGTTCCCCCCCCCCCTTTTTTAATTTAAAGCTTCCAAATGGGAAAGGATTACAGTTTATTTCATATCTTGGTGGCATTACCAACACAATGAAAAGCACGGCCTCAATTGTGTTGTTAGTTGTACACGGTCAGCTCTGTAAGAACACCTGTCCCCTTTATGCAGGGGATGAATGTAATAGCTCTCTGCTATAGAACATTGTGTGCTGGCAGAGTTCACTGGCCCTGACAGAGATGCTGGGAGGCTTTGCTGTGGGACAGAAAGGTCACCAAGGCATGAGTGGTTCCCAGAATCATAACAAGGCTGTGGCGTGCTAATTGCAATAGGCTCTTGGTTGTACAGAGGGCAGGCACGGAGGACCAGGCTGCAGGATGAGTGTATCTTTGTGTCCACTAAAGACAGCTGGCTGGTATGCCCAGTTCCCCTGGTTGTTAGCCTTTGGCAGGACATGGCTGATCCCTTCTGCTCAGGGTTGACAGCAGTGTGGCCATGGCGTTGGCTCTCTTTTGGGTGCTTCAGTTAACTGTGGCTCAGAATGTACACAGTGTTGTCCACTGCTGCTTGATGCTCAGGGGCTGTGGGAGGGAAGGGGTGACACAGTAACGACATGCTGGTGAGGATAAAAGACTGGACCCAGAGCTGGGGGTTCCTGTGTGCACAGTGCTCTGTGCCCATCTGCAGGAATGTGTTTACTTGCATGCCATGACAAAGGCAAGGCATTGGAAGGTCCTGTCAACCCTGCCATCTTTCCCCTTGCTACAACCTTGGCCATGGGAATTTGTTAAGAACTACATGACATTAGCTCTCAAGGAGGAATTAGAAACTGTTTTTTGCCTTCTAATTCATAGCCACAGACAGGATAGATGTATCATAGTTCAGAAGTCGAGCTTTCTCTCATCTGCACCTCCTCTGTCCCCCCAAATCCACAACAAATGTCTTGGTAAGCTAAATTACATCTTATGTGATGACAAGACAGGAAATACCAGACGTGCTTGTTTATGAGGACAGCCATACGAAAGCATCATAAACTGGTTGACTAACATTCATTGCCTTGCAGTTCTGGAGTCTGGAGGCCAAGCAAGGTCTCAGCAGGTGTGTTTTCTTCTAAGCCCCCTTCTCCTGGGCTGGTTGATGGCCTCTCCTTTGTGCAGCCTGTGTGGTCTTCTTGTGTGCACGACCCTCCTGATAGAGACACCAGTGCAGTCGGGCCAGACTCCCACGAGCTTCCTTCTGAAGAACTGAATCATCTCTTTAAAGGCCCTGTTTCCAAAGGCTGCCACTTTCTGGGATTTGGGTGGGGAGGCGGGAGCAGAGTTAGGGATTCAACACAGGCATTTCCATGGGGTGGGCCCACAACAACAGCAGCTTCGAGTGACCGAGTGCCCAGAGAAGCAACCCACCTTTCTTCTTCATTTTAGACTTTGATGATAGCATGTTTGTTAAGACCTCAACCCCTGAAGAGTGGATCGCACAAGGAGAATACTACGCTAAACACCAGTGCTGGAAGGTAAGGGACCAGGTCTGCAGTCTGGGTGAGTGGGACTTCATCAGTCCCCAGAGACAGGTCTCCCACCACCACCCTGGTCCCTGGAGAAGAGGGTGGTGTGCTTGTGTCACTTCTGAAATGCCAGGTCATTCCACCATGAGGAGAGCTCTCAGTCCTGCTTCTTCACTGTGTGTTTGACAGTTCCACTCACGCCAAATGCCAACATAAGCTGATGGGAAAGTGGGGGGTCCTTTCTGTTCCCCACCAAGGAACACCTTGATTTACTCTGTTTCCCTTCTGTGCTGTATTTTTTTTTGGTGGGGGCACACCTGGTGGTGCTCAGGGGGTACTCCTAGCACTGTGCTCCTGGAGGTGCTTGGGGGATCGATACGGGATTCCGGGGATTGAATCTGGATCAGTTGCGTGTATGGCAAGTGCCCTATCCACTGTACTGCTTCTCCGGCCCCTGTGCTATCCGTCTGTTTAAAGAGCTTTGCTCCAATCATCCCACATTTTCACCTGGGTGGTGGGCTTTCCAGAGACATTTGAAGGTCAGGAACCTTTCCCGGGGATACTCAGCATACTGATCTGGATTTCATGCCTCCATAGGGCCTGTTGCCGTGGGACTGCTTAGATCCAGTGGTTCTAGGGGTCTTCCCGCTACTTCCCCTTATTATTTTCTAAATAATAACAGATTGGTTCTCTATCTGTGTTCACTGTGATCTGACATAGACTTCACTGCCAGTCTGAGCCTAGTTGAATATGGGATGAGATTTCATACTAGACACAGGTGACCTCTATCTAGCCACAAGTCACATTAGTGAGCTTAAGAATTCATCTGCCAGGGAAATGTCTCTCTGCTAGTCCTCTCAGAATTTTGAAACCACCACAACGGGCCCCTTTGCCAACAGTCAGCGTCCCTTCACATCCCAGTTGGCCACCAGGTATGTATCACCTGGGGTTGTGTTGGTGTATATAGCTCTACCTGTGTAGCAAAACACTGGCACCCTGCAAAACATTAATACCCTGAAAAACACGGGCATCTTTGATCACGGTGGAGTTGGTGGTTTTATAAAGTAACCAGAAGTCTGACATTTAGGTTGATTCTGCAGTTTATCATGGGACCAATTTTAGTCCATGTCTTTCCTGTGCCATCTGCAACTTGTCAGAGATGTCCCTTGAAAGCTGAAAGATTACTACAGCAGTACCACACACTCTACACACTCCTTAGCAGCTTCCCAAGCAGCAGGAGAAGGGCCCGCACTTCTCAGCACTCTCTCTCTCTCTCACTCCCCCCTCTCCCCTCCCTCTGTCTTTCTCTGTCTACATGTCTCTCATCTCTGTCTCTCATCTATCTTTCTCTGTCACTCTCGTCTCTTCTGTTTTTCTATCTCTGTCTCGTGTCTATCTTCTCTGTATCTCTCATCTCTCTGTCTTTCTCTGTCTCTGTCTCTCACATCTCTCTCTCTTCTGTCTCTGTCTCTCATCTGTCTCTCTCGTCTCTGTCTCATACAAAGTTCCTAGTGGATATCTCCATAAATTTATTGATTGATACCAAATCACGTATATTTTGGTTGCAAGGGAGTCTGGGAGTGCGATCTCTGTTGACATTTCCAGACCTTCTTGGGAAGTAGATTCTGGTATCAGGTGAGAAAGGAAGTGGGGAACATAGTGAGGATTCTGGCCTGTCGCTGGGGTCAGCTAGTCTCAGCTGGTCTGTTCCCAGGCCTGGACTCATCTGCCAGTCAGCAAGCAGATGTGCTTCTGGGCGTTCACTGACTCTTGGTTCTGGTGATGGTGGTCGTGGGTCACATGCTTTTCATCCTCGAACAGGTCTGCTGCGACTTGTTCCCTGAGCCTGGCAGGTTTGTGAGTGATGGAAGTACACAGGTCCTGGCTTTGGAGCTGGCCCACTATCTTTTTTTATAGCAGCCCATTGAACAACACAAATCACAACTCAGATCTGAAAGCAGGAGAACTTTTGATGGGTGAACGTGTGTGTGTGTGTGTGTGTGTGTGTGTGTGTGTGTGTGTGTGTGTGTGTAAAATTCTGCTGGGAGCCACACCCAGTGTTGCTTAGAACCTGGGACTGTTCTGCTGCTACTCAGGGTGGGGGTGGCATGCAGTGCCAGGGTTTGGAATCCAGGCCCCATCCTTGCAAAGCACATGCTGTACCACTTGAGCCACATCCTTGGTCTCAGAATTGCACTTCAAGGGAATGGCTATAGGAAGGAGTGAAGGACTACAGATTTCCTTGGGATTGTAACGGTGTGAGAACAGAATTTGTACTGTTCTGTGTTTGGAATGTATTTCTACAAATATGCAAAATCTAACTGCAGAAGTTTGCTAAGCCCTTCTGTGCTTGTCCATATTGTAATTGAAAACTGGGCACTTGGCTGTTGTATATAAAATTTTTTTATTACTTTGTTTGGGGGGGAACTGGATAGGGAGGAATGAAATGGGAGGCTGGTGTGAATATGAAACTGGAAAACTTGGAGGTCTTTCCCTCTTTTTTATTCCTTTTATTTCTAATTTGTTTCTTTTGAATGTTTGAGTCTATAAAGTCTTTTTTGTTTTTTAAGGATCTGGCGTGGAGGAGAAGATTACAAAGCCTTCTCCTTGTCTGATTTCATTTGAACTCTGCTAAAGGACTTTAGAACTCTGTGGGAGGGGGTTGAGGTGGGGGTACTGTTTTGGCTTGCCTGCCCCTGAACATTGCAGACCACCATACAAATGGAAACCACTTGAGATTCTTTCATTCAACAAGTTCTTGTTGAAAATGGGCCAGCCATTGTATCTGGGCCTTATGCAAGAGAGACATAAGAAGAGTGCTGAGCTCTGTCTGTGGCAGATGTTGCAGCTGAGACCAGCTGCCCTGGGGCCACTTGTTCTGGACACGTGGGGAGCTGCCTTGAGATGGAGCTATGAGTGTAGACCTGTCGGATGAGTGAAGTTAGCCAGGCCTAGAAAGAGTGGAAGAGCATCAAATCGAGGGAGCCACGCAGGCAGAGACCCTGTGGAGGGAAGGAGTGTGGCCCAGGGCCCCTGGGAACTGGAACAGAGAGCCTGAAGGGGCCAGTGCTCTCCTGGCTCTACTGTGGGCAAGTGATGCTTTGTCCTCCCCTTGCTCACAGTGAGACCTACCCTCTCCGTGCTGGGCAGGACGCCTGCGTTCTCCCTTGGTGCCTCTGCTTCGTACCCACTTCTGGTTTTAGAAAAGCAGCTTTTCACTGGCGGGGGTGGAGATGCAGGTCAACTCCCTCAGGACTGTTGTCTGCCTGCCTTCTGTTTGGTGAGGGTGTATTCTCAAATCCTGACGATTTGGCTGGTTATGTTCTGGGAGGTGTTGTGAAACCCATCTGCCTACCCATTTCTAGCCGGAGTGATTGTCTCAAGGCTGTTCCATGCATTGGGAAGGATGAAACTTCCTGCGCATGTCTGTTGGAAGAGGAACCGAGGGTGTTATTGTGGGAGCCTATGCAGATATGTATAAGGTTGCCTTTGCCATGGCTTTTGGGTGCTTCCAAAATGAGCCTGTGAACTGGGGTGTGTTACCTTAGCACACCAGCTGGGTTTTCTCTTCAGAGGTCAGTTTTAACTAGCCAGCACCTTCCTGCTCCTCTCTCCGGTCCAGCTGGACTGAGGGGCTTTGTCTGGGCAAATGTAGACCACGGCTTTCACTTTTGTTGTGTGTGTCTCCTTCGTTACCTTGCTGGAAGTCAAACCCTCTTGCCTGTTGCAGGTTGCAGCCAAATGTTACCAGAAAGGCGGCGCCTTTGAAAAGGAGAAACTGGCGCTGGCCCACAACACCGCCCTGAACATGAAGTCCAAGAAAGTCAGCCCCAAGTAAGAGTCTTGAGGATCCATCCTTTCATACCCAGTCCCAGGAGGACGGCAGGTTAGCGACACTGATGTCAGGGCCACATTCCATGGAGACTCTTTTGTCGCCCTCCTTCCAGGGAAAAGCAGATGGAGTACCTGGAGCTGGGGAGGACGTATCTCGAGTGCAGCGAGCCCCTGCTGTCTCTGAAGTGTCTGAGCTACGCCAAGGAGTTCCAGCTCTCTGCCAAGCTGTGTGAGAGGCTGGGGAAGGTACTGCCTCAGCCCACGGCCACGCTGCGGCACAGCTTGGACATCGGCGTCCTGCTGCTTCTGTGGACTTTGTCAGGCTGAGTGAGACGGAGACGGAGTAGAAATCCCTGTGGGGGAGGTCTCTGGCCTCTGTTCCAGAAACTATGATGATTTCTGGCCTCTTCATGTTCTCTCAACCCTCCCCACAGCCCATCTTCGTTCTCAGATGCAGCTATCTTGGGACCTAAGCAGTGCCAACTGCAGGGGGCAGGCCTGAGCCTATCACTGTCCCCCTTTTGCCTGTTTCTACCCTGAATGAACCAGAGACTCGTCCCTTTCATCTTTCCCTGGTTCTCCCCACACTTCATTTGCCAAACTCTACTTCTAAAGAGACTAGGGAAGGTCCAGGGGATTCATGTACGGGCCCATGGTCTGCTTCTCTGCCTCCCTGCTCCAGGTCTTCATTGCCTTCCTGAAGGTCCTTCTCCTTTCCCTTCCTCTCCTCTCCCCTCCCCACCCTCCCCTTCACTGCCCTCGCCTCCCTCCCCTCGCTACTGTCAGGGGTCCCTCTGCCTCACCTCCCTCCTGCCTTGTCTCTCTTCAGAGAGTAGCACTGGTTTCTAGGGAAACCCCTCCAACTTCTCCCTCTGGCTGGCACCAGATGGGGACCTCATGGGGCAGAGGGAAGGGAGCTGCCACTGTAATGCCTGTTTCACCCACAGTTCGGGGCCCACTTGGTCCCTTGTGGACCCTTCAGTCATACTCAGGGATTTTTTTTCCTTGTGAGTATTGCCTCTGCTGGGGCGACTAAAGCTACTGGTTATGGGCGGTGTTATTGATAAAGCAAGATGGACCTAGTTGTGCCATGGTCTGGGGGCATGTCTGTGTGTAGACCAACCTCACCACACTTCTGTGTTTTGGGATACTGTGTAGTTCATATCACTGGGGAAAAAAAACTAGCTAAGATATACTAAAGGAGCTTGCGTGTGTACTTCATTTTGTCCCGTTTGGTTTCTTCTTCTCTCTGGGCTTCAGGTGCAGCCATTAGGGTTGTGACATTAAGTATTCAATAACAGATGTACTTGCTGCTACATGTCAGGACCTGTGTGTAGTCAGCCACTAGCCAGCCGCCAAGCAGAGGACTCAACCTTTGCACGGCTTCATGGTTTTGGGGAGTTTTAGTTTCTGGCCTCAGTGTTCCCAAGCCATTGCGGCTAATTTGCCCAGTTTCCTGAGAAGAAGATCTACGAGACGCTATCTTCTCCCAGATGCCACTCACAGTCCTGTGGCCTGCATGTCTCCTTCCAGGGCGACAGTGGCTGTGCCCATCTTGCAGAGGAGGAGGGAGGGAGCTAGATCAGGGTGAAGAGGGTGTCAGGTGTTGCCACTTGGAACTGACTTTTGAGTAGAGAATTCAGAAACAGTGTCTGGAGTACAGAGTGGGCCAAGGAGCCTGGTAGGCAGAAGCCCCCAAGGTAGTGTGTGGGCCAGTACAAAGAACAGCCAGAAAGGTCACCCCACGAGGACAGAGGGAATGGGGTAGACATGGTAAAAGGAGCAAGAGGGGATGAAGGAACAGAGCACCTAGGGATCCACAGTCCCCAGGAGTAATGGGGATGGGGATCCGGGGCAGCCTGTGATCAGGATGCTCTGCTGGCAGCAAGAGTGGGGCAGAGAGACCAGTGAGGCGAGGCAAGGGCTGGGAAGGTGCTGGCTTGGACTGCCTCAGTGCTGATGGAGGCAATGGGAAGAGGGGCTGGGCAGGAAGTGTTTGGTGCAAAAGAATGGAAGATGCTCTTCTGATTAGGGCAGACCCACATTGGTGTGTTTAGGGCCCTGCTCTTAGCATTTTATTTGGCTCATCTTCTTTGTAGACTGTCTCCATGTCCATGTTCCTGTTGGTCTCATTGGCAGCCTTCCCAGTGCATTCACTGTAGGGCCCCAAGCACGAATGATTGAAGGATGGTGGCAGTTTTCGCCCCTGTCTATTTTACACTGATCTAGATAGCATCTTGTTCTGTTTTTCACTCCTCCACTCCATGCCATGGAGTTTGAGTTTCTGGCCTCAGATCACATTCCCAAGCCACAGCAGCAGACTTCAGACTTGCCCCTGTTTTCCTCAGAGGTAGACATCTGAAACGCCATCTCCTCCCCCTGCTCACAGTCCTGTGGCCGGCTTGTCTCCTCCTATCCCTGTGACATCTGGGAGCTCAAGTGCTCCCAGTGGCCTGCTGGACTCACTCAGGCTTGCCAGCAGTTGATTCCTGAGAAGGGGGGGGCGTTTTCTGATTTTTTTTTTTTTTTTTTTTTTTTGCAAACCTCATTGATGTCCCTCCTAGGACTTTCACTCACATTTCTGTTTTTAAATGAAGCTGGTCACCTTCATTTGTTACTGGTTGTTCAAGTTTCCTCCACTGTGACTTGCCAGTTAATAAATATCCTTTATTTATTTTCCTTGTGATTTCCAGAACCTGTCTTTTGTTCTAGATCTGTCTAATCACACCTAGATTACAGTGACTCATCACCACTAGCCATCTATGGGAATTTAAGAGAAAATGAATTTAAATGAAATGAAATTTTAAAAATTAGTTCCTTGGTTGTATTCTTTCAATGTACTCACTTTTGACTTATAAGCTGTGGCTGCCTGTGTTTAGTCAATGGCTACTAGATAGAATAGCACAGATAGAAAATATTTCCATTTTCACAGAGAAGTTTTGGACAGTCTTGGAGTTAATGTTTGTCTTCTTTGTCTTGATTTTTTTTCTTGTGTTCTTTGTTGTATTCTTCGATATTCTCCACTCAATTGAGTGTGGTTTTGTTGAAGACTTTCTTTACTTAAAGGTTACAAAGATATCCTCATATGCTTTCCTCTCTTAATGTCCATATCTAGATCTTTAGTTGTTCTGGAGCTTGGCTTTGTGTATTATCAGAGCTTGGGATTTAACTTTCTGATTCCCTGCATCAAGAACAAGTCTTTATAATACTACTTATGTTTTGCTTTTTCACTGGATACTCACAAATGACAGATGCATAATTCTTTTTATTATTCTCAGTGTTGGTTTATTTTTAAGATTATAAAGTTGTTATGAGTATACTCCACGAGTAAATTTTTACTCTGTCCTAGATAAGAGATGCCGCCTACTTCTATAAGCGGAGCCAGTGCTACAAAGACGCTTTCAGATGCTTTGAGCAGATTCAGGAATTTGATCTGGCACTCAAAATGTACTGCCAAGAGGAGCTTTTTGAAGAAGCGGCTATTGCAGTAGAAAAGTAGGTGGTTGTATTTTCTCCCTTCCCCTTCCTCCTCTGCTTTCTGGGGCAGCCCGCCCTGGACAGTATCATCCTGCTCTTCTGACCCTGTCACCTGGTCTGGCCCTGTCACTTCCTTCCATTTAGCCCCTGGTGCAGGGTCAAGAGCTCCTAGAGATCAGGACTCTTGTTTTCCATGCTTGGACACAGTGTCCTGAAGCTAGAAGAAGATGAAGAATGTGTTAAGAGTGTGTACATATAACCTTCATGATATTTTTATTCTTAGTGTCAGATCAGTTTTATTACCTGCTGCATTGACAATTTCAGTGCTCTGTGACTGTAAAGGTGAGAGAATGATTGGGCAGACGGGATTTTATCTCATGGCAGAGGCTCAGCCATGTTCTTAGACACATATGGGTCATAGATCTGTGACCATCCCTTCAAGTTATAAAGCACAGGATCTTTCCACAGGACCCTAGAGGACTCCTTGAGCCTTTATCTGTAGCTGATGTTCTGAAGGAGTCAGGGAGCTAGGTGGGGTTAGCGGTGGATACGGAGTTTGCAGACAGCATCTAGTTAATGTGTCAAGGGGTCTTCCAGGTTGTCTGAGAGCATGAGAATGAGAATTTGCTCTCCTCAGCAGAATTTGCTTTGCTTCTGAAGGAGCAGTCATTAGATTGCTTTCTACAGAATCAAACATGTCACACAGTGAATGTCATTGATCCAGATGTCCAAGCTTCAGATTTTCATGTTCACTTCCACTACAGTGTATATGCAGGGATGACTTTGTGGCTTTCATAAAACATATGCATAAGGATAACCACACCTATATAAAGAGGTTGAGTTTTTTGCATGGAATGGAATATTTAGGTACCCAGCATGTTCCGTTAGACAGGTCTTCGGTGGTACTATGCATGTGATGTACATAAGTGTGCATTCATCAGCTCAGACTGCCAGTGCAAAATCACATAGACTGACAATTTCATGAGCCACAGAAATTCATCGTCTCACAGATTGTGGAGCCCGAAGTCAGAGCTTGCAGACACAGGATTGCTGGAAGAGACCTGCAGGTGGCTCCCTTGCCGTGTCCTCGCAGGAGCTCTCCATGGCACTTTGGGTGTGGAGAGAAAGTAGGTATATGCAGGGCAGGAGCATCTTCTTAGAGGACATTCATCCTGCCCCACCTCTTACCTCATCCAGCTTTACTTCCTTAAAGGTTTCCCTCCAAATACAGCCACACTGGGGACCTAGGGCTTCAGTATATGAATTTTAATGAACACACACATGCGGTCTACCTGGGTGTCAGCAGTGACATATATTGTGTACCCTTTATATGGGGGTGTGATTAACCAACCAGGCCATATTCCCTTGTGAGATCATAGGGAAAATGAGACTTTTTTGTTTGTTTTGGAGTTGTATCCAGCAATGCTCTGATTACTCCTGGTTCTGTGCTTAGGAATTCCTTCTGGCTTGGGGAACCAGATAGGGTGCCAGGTGTAAAATCTAAGTTGGCCACGTTCAAGGCTAATGTCCTGCTGACTGTACTATTGCTCCGGCCACTGAGGATTTTTATTTATACTTACTCATTTGAACTTAGGGCTGGAGCATAGCACAACGGCAGGGCGTTTGCCTTACACGCAGCCAACATGGTCGACCCAAGTTAGATTCCTCCGCCCCTCTCGGAGAGCCCGGCAAGCTACCGAGAGTATCTCGCCCGCACGGCAAGCCTGGCAAGCTACCCATGATGTATTCAATATGCCAGACACAGTAACAACAAGTCTCACAATGGAGATGTTACTGGGTCCGCTCGAGCAAATCGATGAACAGGAGGGCAGTGCTACATTTGAACTTTGGTCATTTTCAGAAAAGCATTGAATAGTCATAGAGGACCACCCCAGCACTCGCCCCCAGCCCCTGTAATACTCTTTTAGTCTCTTGTTACTTTATATATTTTTCCATCTTTGTTGAGGTAAACAGCTATGTGTGTGTAAGACTTGTTGAGCGCTAATATTAGCTGTATTGGCCAGAATATTTGCTGGAGCCTCACACTAGATTTATCTGAGAGCCTTTTGCCTTGCACAGTGGATATCAAGACCAGTTGCTAGCTGACATTACTGAAAGCATTTTGAGGATATTTGAAAACATCTTGAGTTCCTTAAGCTGTTGAAGAATTGCCTCTATATCAGTGCATGCCCCCCCACAAGGAGATTCCGTTTCCTTCATTTCACATGTACCACGCACGTCAGAGGTTCCAGTTTTCCTAGGAAAACTGGTGGTGCAGGATAACCCCGTGACATTATAAGGGCCCTGAACGCATCTGTGGTTGGGAAGAAATGTGCTGTGAGAAAAGTCCCAGTGAGAGTTTCAACAGTGAGCGTTTTACCGGAGTGCTCCATTGCCTCAGTGTCATATGATACACCACGGTTGATAGGCAGGTATAGGAACTCAGCCTCAAGAGGGGCTGGCAAGAAAGAAAACTCACAGGACCCTCTGGTGCAAGTGAAGCCCTCGATAATCACATATCGAACAGGCCAGAGTTGTAAACCAACACTGTTATATTATCATGCTTTCATGAAGGTTTAAAGGATTTGTTTTTGAGAACAATTTTCACTTTTAACTTAAATTTATGCCTTACAGATAATACCTTCGTACCTTATTCTCATTTATTTAGGTTGTAGGACTGTACTGTCCTCCCGCTGTTCATCGATTTGCTCAAGCGGGCCCAGTAACATCTCCATCATGAGACTTGTTGTTACTGTGTTTGGCATATCGAATACATCACGGGTAGCTTGCCAGGCTTAGCCGTGCAGGCAAGATACTCTCAGTAGCTTGCCGGGCTCTCCGAGAGGGGCTGAAGAATCGAACCCGGCTTGCAGAACCCAGCTGTGCAGAAGGCAAATGCCCTACCACTGTGTTATCGCTCCAGTGCTTGATTCCTTTGAGAATAAAGAATTTATCAGGGTAGGATGAGACATTGGTAGAGATGTCTCTAAGTTGAAGCCCTGTTAGATAATTCATTTGTATTTATCTACTTTGGTAGATAACCTCTTGGTACTTCGGCATGGTCCTCTAGGGTACAGTGCAGCGCCAGGAACAGAATTTAGGCCTCCCACATGCATGGCACACAGTCCAGTTCTTGGAGCTTTTCACAGCCCCTCTATTTGGTTACTGACATCTCCAAGTAGGAGTTTTATGGAAGTATTTTATTTAAGTGGTTTTGTGATGTATGGGGAGGATTTTCTTCTGGGCAGTAATATGTTGGCATCTATGTCTTACGCTGCAGGTATGAAAAAATGCTGAGGGCTAAGACCCTTCCCATATCTAAGCTCTCCTATTCTGCAAGTCAGTTTTACTTGGAGGCTGCCGCCAAGTATCTGAGTGCAAACAAGATCAAGGAAATGATGGCTGTGCTTTCCAAGCTAGACATAGAAGATCAGCTTGTATTTCTGAACTCTCGGAAAAGGCTGGCGGAAGCAGCAGACCTGCTGAAACGGGAAGGCCGGAGAGAAGAGGCCGCTCTGCTGATGAAGCAGCACGGCTGTCTCTTGGAGGCAGCCCGGCTCACCGCCAACAAAGACTTCCAGGCCTCGTGTCTACTGGAAGCCGCCCGCCTCAACGTGGCCAGGGACTTGGATGTAGAACACACCAAAGTCATTCTGAGAGAAGCCCTGGACCTCTGCTATCAAACCAATCAGCTGTCTGGCATCGCCGAGGCCCAGTTTCTGCAGGGCGTCATCCTGAGAGACTTCCAGAAGCTCAAGGATGCCTTCTACAAGTTTGACACCCTCAACCACCCAGCTGGTGTGGTGGAAGTGCTCTATGAAGCTGCCAGCCAGTGTGAGGATGAGCCTGAGAAGGTTCTGGCCCTGGCTCCTGCCGGCTTGACCGTCCTCCTCAATCTTGTCCGGGCCCTCAAAAGAGTCAGTAACAATGCTGAGAAGGAAATGGTCAAATCTTGCTTTGAGTTTTTCGGGTTTTCTCAGGTGGATTCCAAGTATTGGCAGATAGCTCAGAGTGATCCCGGGCCTATATTAAGAATAATTTTTGACCTGGATTTGAACTTGAAAGAGAAGAAAACAAAAGATCATTTCTTGGTAATGACTGACCAGGTAAAATTAGCCCTCAACAAGCACCTTTTGAGTAGACTGTGTCAGATTACACAGAGCCTGCTTGGGAAGGCCTACCCTGGGGTCTGCATGAGGTTTATCGTGGGTTTAAAATGTGAGGATGAAAACTGTGAGGATTTCCACAGGCCTCTGAGACGCTGTGAGGCCAAGTGTTTGGTTCAGTCAAAAATGCACCTGGTGGCCATCAACGGGTTGCTTTTGGAAGCCAAAAAATTATTCCCTAAAATCTTAGCTGAGGAACTTGAAGAAATCGATTATATTTTGTCTGCCGACATGTATGGCCTTTGCAAATCCTTCCTGAACGTCCTCTTCCCCAAGCACTTCCATCAGAGAGTGCTGTCAGAAAACCCCATGGCATGCAAAGAAATCCTCAAGCCAAATTACAAATCCTTCCGAGCCTATCGGCTTGCCCTGAAAGAGTACATCCACTTCCTGTTCCAAAACGAAAGGGCCCGGAGCCGCCGTGAGTCCACAGACCTGTGGCTGAGCGCCATGCAGACTTTCCTTCTGTCCTCCAACTATCCAGAGGAGTTTGAAAAGCTGCTGCACCAGGAGGAGGACAACTATAACCGGGAGCTCAGAGCCCTTGAGTCTGAGAAAGAGGACAGGGGCCGCGGCAGAGGTGGCAGGATGAAGGGCATTGAAGGGAAGTTTGGCATGCTGGTGCCCAACAAGGAGGACGAGAGTGCTGAGAAGACCCACCTGTGCTTCATCCGGCTGCTGGAGAACTGCATTGACCAGTTCTACGTGCACAGAGACCCGGAAAACTATAAGAGGCTTTTTTTCCGTTTCATGAATGTGCTCGTCAGAAGGTGCAAAGAGCCACTCATCCCCAGCATTGGAAACACAGTGGCCTTGCTGGAGTTCCAGTTCATCCACTGCGGGGCAGTCCTCGCCCGCCTCTGGAAGAACGCCATCTTGTGCCTGCCCAAGAGCTACATAGCGCTCTTACACTACTGGGAGTTCCTGTTCAGCAAGAAGGATAAGGAGTTTGGGGACGTGTTCTCCATCATTCAGGACTACAAGCCCAAGGACGTGACCAAAGCCATCCAGGATTTCCGGTTCCACCTCTCCTACCTCGTTAAGGTGCTATGTGGCTACGAGAATATAAACTTCAATGTCCTGCTTGATGCCTTTAGTGAAATAGACTATGTGGTCTCAGGTGAGGCCGAGCGGACCCTGGTGCTGAGCTTGGTGATGCTGGTGAACGCTGAGGAGGTGCTGCAGCCATCCTGCAAGTCCTTTCTGTACCACCACTTCCAGGAGATCGACACAAGGCTGCAGCTGATGACCCTAGACTGGCCAGACCAGGTTCCAGAGAGGCTCCGCAAAGTGGTGAAGCGGGTGCTGATGGCTGCCAACGCCAAGTCGGTGGCAGAGGCACTGCAAGACCTGCTCTTTGAGCGGGATGAGGAGTACCTGATGGACTGCCACTGGCGGTGGGACAACGCACACACCAAAGGCCCCGTGGTCCGTGGCCTGTACCACGAGGAAGTCAGGCTGAACCGCCTGCTCTGTGTGGGCCCCATGGACTACTTTCCGGAGCCAGAGTGTGAGTTTGGTCAGGAAGAGATGGATGAGCTGGCGTTAGAAGACCGAGACCACCTCCTGGCTGCCATCCTCTCCCAGATGCAGCGGAAGGCAAACGTCCAGCGGAAGCTGAGAAAGGTATGCCTGGTGGTCTCGCTGTGCATCCGGTGGAGGCGAAGGGTGAGCGCCCCAACCGAGTGCTTCCTGGAGGAGACCAGGGAGCCCGCGACCAGGCACTTCAAAAAAGCCGACGTGGACAGAACACAGTGTGACCTGTGCGGGGTGAAGTTTGCTCGTGGCCCTGAGGGCTATTTCAACCCTGGGAAAGCACTCGAGGGAGCCATTTCTGAGGATGTGGTCCTTTCCAGGGGGGACCTGGAAGGCAAGGAAGTCCGGGAGAGGAATAGTGAGTCTTACGAGCAGCACATCCACCTCGATGGCCACCAGAGGCAACAAGTGGCCTACCAGAAGTACTTCGAGTTTTTCTGCGACAAGGTGGACCCCGCCATCGAGGAAGGCAGGTTGGTGGTGCAGGACATAGAGCAGAGTGTGTGGGTCCACAGCCACCTGGGCTCCAAAGAGCACAGCCACATGCTGCAGCGGAAGGTCCAGGAGAACATCCAGAAGGTCTCAGACATGGTGGAGGACCTATACAAGCGGAAGGCCTGGGCTGGCGGTAAGGCACCTGCAGAAATGGGGGCCCGATGGTGTTCAGGAGAGAACCACACCACAAGTGACTCCAGACGGTGAACTCTTGGCATTTGTGGGTCTCAAATTATAGCAACCCCCATTATTTGATCCATTCCCCTCCCCAACCCACCCCCCCATGAGAAATGTATGATGACCTTGAACCAGGATGGAGGATGGCCCCCATTATCCCCCCACACTATAGATAAGAAAACAGCTGGCAACTGTGTTCCGTGGAAAAGACAAAAGGGAGAATGTTTAGATCTTGAGAAAAAAATTCAGGCTTCTCCTGATTTCTTCATTCAGTGATCATATTTTGAGCACCTACTATGTACTGACTGGGAGCTTGGCTAAGGGCTGGAGGATTGTGGCCGCTCTCTTCTCTGGAGGACCCTTAAATCATGGCCAGTGTGAGCTTCTGATAAGAATAATTCTTATGAGATCTCTGAATCTGATCCCCTAACTTCCCATTAGCAACTTTGTAAAAGTCGCAGCATGTATCAGATAAGTGACATGGTGTGTGTTTGAGAATGCTGTCATTCATTCTCCTGTCTATCATCTGAACATAAGCTCCTCACAGGCACAGCTATTGACAATCCATCCAAGCACACAGTGGCAGCACAAGGCTGGTGACTGTGCTGGCTCTCGTACATGGCAGCAGAAGGCAGCTGGGGTGTTCTCAGTGGCTACCTCTCAGGGAGACAGAGATGACATCTTGGGAGGGGCAGTAGGGCTGCAGGTCCGCGTGCTGTGAGCCCCCGGCAGCAGCCCGTTCACTCAGCGCCCCTGTTCTCTGGTTCCCACAGCGGAGGTGGGCATGACTCGGCTGATCAATAGCCTGATCCTGTCAGTCAGGGACGCACGGGAGTGGCTGATGAAGACAGAACTCCACTTAAAGGAGGAAGGTAAGGAGGCCTTAGGCCCAGCTCGTGGGGCGGGGTGCTGCCTGTGATGACTGTGAGTCTAATTAGTACCCCGCATTTCCCCGTCTGGTGCCGAGAGTGGGTGATTCCAGGATCATGCCCATTGCTGTTGCAGAAACCTTAGCCACTCACGAGCTGCCATTGACTGTGGTCAGTCTTTACTCATACTCAATAGGGTGACTCTCGGGATCTGCGTGGCACTCAGAGCCATTCCTTGTTAAACGTATTTACCTTCCTTTAACTCAGTGAGCACTGGCTGATGTGTGTCAGCACTGTGCTAGGCTTGGGATGATAGTAAGTAGATGTGTGAACAAAACAAACAGAATCAAGGCGTGGGAGGTAGTTCAAAGGGGAGAGAGGGCAAGCGAGGTGTGCCCAGAGCTTTGAGTTTGGTCCCTGACACTGCGTGACCTCCTAAGTACTACTGAGTGTGATGCTGGTGGCCCGATGAGGGCCTGTTACCCTGTATTGCTGGGCAGTGTCACCTGAGGAACCCACTCCACTGTTCAGAAGCCCTCCCCCCACCCCCAAAAAAGGTCTCACCACAGAAACTTGTATCCATCTTCCTAAAGCAAGTTGAAAGCTTGTGTAGGTGGAGTCAGGTTTGTCTCCAGATGGAATGATCTTGCCAAGTTCTGTGTGATCTGGATAGTCTTCCCTCTTGTCCTTTGCGACCGCTGCCCCTATTGGCCAATTGCCCCTCTGTGAATTCTCCTAATGGGCTGCTACTGGAAAACCCAGTCCCTAGAGCTGCAGAGACTTGAAGGCACTTGGCATGAATACTGGTGTCAATACTGAAAATCTTGAGAGGGCCAGAGAGAGATGTCACTGTACTGGAGCATATGCCTTGCATGTGGGAAGCCCAGGATCTGTCCCTGGCCCCACATGTTTCCTGAGCACAGCCAGAAGCAGAGCTGAGAGACTTTGAGTACTGAGCGAGGAGTAGCCCTGAGCACTGGTGGGTGTGGGCAAATTAAATCTTTATAACGTATTCCCTGCTGAGGACTATGATTTTTTTGTGTTTGTGATGGCTTTAAGTGGAAGAAAACTGTTGGACGCAAGCCAAGTTGCTTTGTTTGATTTCTTGCCATTTGAAAGGCCTCTAAAATAAGGACAGAGGAAGCAGCTTATAAAAGAACTTAATTCCAGAGAAGAGTATTTACTTTGACTTTGAGTCATCCTGGGATCAATATCAGTACTAAAAGGAACTCCCCCCGCTCTGTTTCCGGTGTCTCAGTAACCCCCCCACCCCAAATGGCTTTTCTGCACTTTGTCTCTGTGTTGTGCTCGTTGTTAAACAGGAATCGTTCAGGAAGATGATTATGAAAATGAAATTGAAGACTTTGGTGAACTTCGTCCTAGGAGACGCTGGCGGAAATTTGCAAGACAGAGAAGATACTGAGGGCCACAAAGCTGCTGCCTCCTAAACCTTCAAACCATCCTGCCTTGGAGTTTTGAGTGCGGAGGCAGAGAGAAAAAGAATGTACATCGAAGTAGGGGAGTCTATCACCCCCCTTTGCTTTTTGTTCTTGTTATTTCTCTTTCATCAGTGGCTTCAGCTCCCCGGGTTTCCCCACCAACAGGGACCGCTTACGTGTTTCCCAGGTTCAAATCTAACAGAGTCACTTTCCCCTGAAATGTAGCCGAAGGCAACCTTGGGACCCCTTTCTCAGTACCCCCAGGTTCTCTGTCTCATCAGCCTCATGCCATGGGTCATTGGCGGGACCCCGGCACCTCAGAGTCATTACCACTCTGGCCCAGGAAACCCCTGTTCGATTCCCCTCTTCCCCACATTGCTGTGGCATCAAGTAGAACAGGAGCTGTGTGTGTCCCCGACCCCAGGCCACACTCTGGCATCTCTGAGCCCCCGCGGAGCATAGATCCTCCCCCTTTTAGATTGGTCTTTTGGTTTGGTGACAACTTTTCTGCCTTCCTTCCCCCTCAACCCCCATTTATTGGTGATCATTCTTAGCTGCTTGTGCAAGTCACGGTTAGACTACCTCAGAATGTAGTCAAGAGCCCCTGCCCTCCTCACCCCCATCCCGGCAGCCCCCCCGGTAGGAAAGGCTGGAGCGGTGGTGGGGAGATTCCTCCCCAAGGTGGTCCAAACGCTGCCTTGGTCCTGGCTCAGACATTCCAAATAGTGTTTTGATTAGCCTCAGATATGTCTGGCCTTCTTGGTTCTCCCTGGCAAGTTGGCCATCCTGACGGGTTTTACTGAGCTCATCATGGTGGGACAGGGACCCGCAGAGCTGCAGGCTAGGGACGCACTGACAGAGCCACCGTGATCAGCCTTCCAGGGCCAGCCCAGCTGTCTGGCTGGGAATCACTGCCCCATGGTGGGAGGCCACTGCCCTCCTCACCCCCGAGCCAGCGGTCCAGATGGTCTCGCTGAGGAAGCCTTTGTGCCTCTCATGGTGACTGCCGCCCCCACCCCAGCTCAGCCTGCTTGGAGAGGTGGGCTTCACGGTGGTGCTTCTGCCCCGCATCACCGCTGAGCCACCTCTTGCCCCCAATTGCTGCTGCTTTAGGCTTCTCATTGTCTCTGAACAACTGTGTCCTTACGTGTTCATGTTCCTAATCTTTATTCATTTCAAGTTTTTATTCCGCGTGTGTGTGTTTTTTCTTTTTTATAAATTTCACTTGCCAGAAAAAAAAGAAAAAGAAAAAAATCAAATCTTGCTGTATTACCACATTTTTATAAAGTTACATCATTTCTCTTACTTGCCTCTGTGTGTTTTCTCACTTGCAGCCTACACTGGGGATGAATAGTACTGAGCTGGGATGGGTCCTTCTGGTCAGCTGCTGATGCTGGCCGGAGCAGGGACTTATTGTACCTACTGGGCGTAAGAAATCCAGAGTCAGAGACACCAGCCTCGACTTGGAGGTTTGAGGCAGCTGGTTGCAATGTCTCTTGAGGGTCTAACTGGGCCAGTTCTTTCCACATTGGAAACCCCCGAGTTTACAGAACCATGAAGAGCTTTGTCAGTGCCTGATTGGGACTTACCCTCCGTGCCCACCTGGGTGATGTGATGAGGGACTCAGAATTGAATCCCTGTTCTGTCCCTGAGTGAGCCTGAGGAAGACAAAAGTGTTGATCACTCTCAGCATCTGCATCTAAACGTGGCACCGCTGCCAAAGGACCCAGGATCCAGTGTGGGAGAGATAGAGACATGGAAGACAGCAGAAATAGAAATATACACAGCAGAGCTTGTGGCAGTATTTACAAAACAGGCCTCAGTTTCCCCTTTCGGAAATGTGAATGATCAAGGGCCCTTCCATGCCAGGATGTAGTTGCTCTGACAGCTCTTGACAGAGCTTTGAACACTTTGGGGTCATGAACACCCTAGGGCCGAATCCGGCCTCCTACCTGCACAGCAAGTGCTCACCCCACTGAGCCAGCCCTGGCTCCGGGATGTCTGAGTTTCTTGAAGCAGAATGTCTCTCATCCTGTTCTTTAGGATCTAGAATACACATATCTGGGCCAGAGGCTCCTGCTGCCTTTCTGCCCTGTCTAACTCCCTCAAGGGACACATTCCCCAGGGGCGTCTCCTCTGCTGGAAGGGTCCTTTGAATAGGGGTGTGGAGGTGGGCTTGGAGAACGGAGCCCAGAAGCAGAATACTAAACCCACAGCAGGTGCAGTCCTGAGGCCTACCTAGTCCCCAGCAGGGGCTTCAGCATCAGGGCTTCTCAAGACCACCCAGACTTTCACTAGACCACCCTCATTCATTAGAGGGGCCCAAGGGACTTAACATATTGGCAAATTTGTGGCTCTGATTTATGACAAAGGCAACTGCAAAGTACAAGGGACTTGGGTGTGTGAGGAGGAAGTGAGTGTAGGTCATCTTTCCATGGTCCTTTGCCACTAAGTCCCATGGGATTTGGCTCCCCCGGCCACTACTTGGGACAATAGGTGTGAAGTGTTGCCAACCAGAGTGGCCGTTTTCTTGGGAACTGGTCTTGCAGGCATTTCTGCCCAGCATACAGCCCCAGCGCCTTGGGGAGCTGTTCAGCTTTAACCTCCCTGGTTGTACCAAGTTTGGGCCCCATGATTCTCTCCAAGCAGTCTGGAGGACAGGAACCCTCCTGAGTTCCTTATTCCCGGACGTCTGCTGAGGGCCAGCCTCATAAACGGACCTTGTAAAGGTCAGTGGTCAAGCCTGCCTTTTTCTTTTTCCTGCACAGGGTGTGGTAATTTCCTCAAGTTGGGACTCCGCCACCCTTGCCTGGATGTCCTCTGTGAGTCCAGCTGCTGGATAAGCACGTGTACACCTTCTGTCTATCTCCGGGTCAAGGGTGAATTTTTAGGAACAGTCCATCTGTTCCTAAAAATTCATCTATCAGGATGAATAGGAGCCTCGGCATTGGGTATCAGTCATAATGGCTGGTGCAGACCATCTAGAACTTGTGATTGGGGACCCTGGAGGCTGGCAGAGGGAAGGAAAGGGCCAGAAGCTCTGGGGGCTCTCTGCACCCCCACCCCCACTCAGACAGTCTTGGCTGACCTTGAGTCTGCAGCCCCTGTTCTCTGGGGACAAGAATGCAGTTTCTCAGTGATGAAGGAAAACTCACGTGATAACTAAGAGCTCACAGCACCTCTGAATTAACCAAGTAGGAAATGGGGTCCTGAGATTGTTTTGTTTTGGAGAGCCAGACTGGGCAACACTGACCCTTGGGCCTGGATTTCTGATGCCAGGCAGAGTCTTTCCTAAGCAAGGAGGGAAACAAGGTCGGCAGCAAATAGCACTTCTTTTTGTGGGGGTCAGAAGGGCCACACCCCACAGTGCTCAGGGGATTTTCCTGGCTCTGTGAGTAGTAGTGACCCCCGGTGGTTCTCAGGGGATTTTCCTGGCTCTGTGAGTAGTAGTGACCCCCGGTGGTTCTCAGGGGATTTTCCTGGCTCTGTGAGTAGTAGTGACCCCCGGTGGTTCTCAGGGGATCTGATGTGGTGCTGAGGGGCCATGTGCAAAGTGAGTACCTTAATCCTAGTACTATCGGTCCCCCGCCCCCCACCACCAGCACTCCTTTGGGGATTCTGATGCCAGCCAGTGTCAGTGTGTAGAGGGTACTGACCTGCTCACCACCTTCAAGTTCTCACCTGCTTCTGGTGGAAACTTTCCTAGAGGAGTGGGGAGTGCCCCCAAGGTCCGGACAAAGCTGCTGTTGAAAGACATCCCCAAGGGGCCGCCCAGCATAGCTCCCCAAACTGCCACCTTTACTTTGCCCCAGCGCTCTCATCCTTACCCCTCCTGGGCACTGGAGCCACATTCTCCCTTGAGATCCAGCTCAGGCTCGCACTGGAGCCTCGCAGCTCACCCTTTCCTCAACGGCTGGCTACAGCTCCCCTGCACCTGCAGCGCCTGCAACTCAACCTAATCCAAGGTGCCTTCTTCCCCCCCCCCGCCCCCGTACCCTCTCCCTGCCTCATGGGGCGCCGTGTACGTCACAGCTTCTTTTTTAATTATTATTATTTTAATGTAGGAGTATTACTATTTATTCAGCCATTGATTAGGCTGATTGAATTGGACATGAACTGCACCTTAGTTTTTTTTTTCTTTTTATAAATTTATTGAATCGCTATGAGAGCAATTACAAAGCTTCCGGGTTTAAGTCTCTGTCATACAATGATGAAGCGCCCATCCCTTCACCAGTGTCCATTTTCCACCACCAGAAACCCCAGTATAGCCCCCATCCCACACCCTCTTCCCACCTCTGGGGCAGATGATTTCCACATTACTCTCTCTACTTTGATTACACTCAATATTTCGACACCAGACCAACCATTATTATTTGTTCTGCCTTCTCGTTGCTGAGGAGGGCATCTCGCCACCCTTCCCGAGGTGGCATCTGTTTGCTCTCATGACTTGCTCTGGGCCACAGAGTGCAGCAAAGTGCCAGTGTCAGCAGCCGTGTCTCCGTGAATCGGCCTGAGATGACCGTGGTAGAGACAGGAATGCTGGGAGGAGGGTCTCAAAGGCACCGTCCTGTAAGTGAAACATCTGGGATGTTTCAGCTCAGATGCCCATGGCTTGAGCATGTCCTGTCACCAGCCTTAGTAGATGCCACGTAAAGCAGAACCTCTGTCAGCTGAGGTGTTTACATTTCTGATCTCCAGAATCATCCCAATGAGCCAAACATAATGGGTTGAAGCTACTAAATTGGAGGGTATCTTTGTTACCCAAACAGACCTCCCATGTGCCAGGTACTATTAAGCATGTCACATCTACGATGTCCAAACCTGACTGCAAGTCTTTTGAATCTTGTGCTGATGACTAATTCACTGTGTGTGGAAAGTGAGCTTCCCTGAGCTCAGGGAAACAAAGTCCCCGGAGTCTACCGGAACCTGATTACTTGTTTGCCACCCCCACCCCCGTTTCTCTGCCCTGAGGGGAACCCTAGTACCTTAACACCTGACCTTTCCCCCCCCCCCCGCTGACAGATCATAGAACCCATTCCCGGCACCCGGCACTTCCCTTCTGGACCCTGACATTCAGCTGCTGGTGCTGG